ACACACCGCATCAAACAGACACACCGTATCAAACAGACACACCGCATCAAACAGACACAGTGTATCAAACAGACACACCGTATCAAACAGACACATTGTATCAAACAGACACAGTGTATCAAACAGACACACCGCATCCAACAGACACACCGCATCCAACAGTCACACCGCATCCAACAGACACACCGCATCCAACAGTCACACCGCATCCAACAGACACACCGCATCCAACAGTCACACCGCATCCAACAGTCACACCGCATCCAACAGACACACCGCATCCAACAGTCACACCGCATCCAACAGACACACCGCATCCAACAGACACACCGCATCCAACAGACACACCGCATCCAACAGACACACCGCATCCAACAGACACACCGCATCCAACAGTCACACCGCATCCAACAGACACACCGCATCCAACAGTCACACCGCATCCAACAGACACACCGCATCCAACAGTCACACCGCATCCAACAGTCACACCGCATCCAACAGTCACACCGCATCCAACAGACACACCGCATCCAACAGACACACCGCATCCAACAGACACACCGCATCAAACAGACACACCGCATCCAACAGACAGACACAGTGTATCAAACAGACACACCCTATCAAACAGACGCACCGCATCCAACAGTCACACCGCATCCAACAGTCACACCGCATCAAACAGTCACACCACATCAAACAGACAGACACAGTGTATCAAACAGACACACCCTATCAAACAGACACACCCTCTCAGACAGACACACCGTATCAAACAGTCACACCCTATCAGACAGACACACCGTATCAAACAGACACACCTCATCCAACAGACACACCGCATCAAACAGACACACCGCATCAAACAGACACACTGCATCAAACAGACAGACACAGTGCATCAAACAGACACACCCTCTCATACAGACACACCGTATCAAACAGTCACACCGTATCAAACAGACACACCGCATCAAATAGACACACCGCATCAAACAGACACAGTGTATCAAACAGACACACCGCATCAAACAGACACAGTGCATCAAACAGACACACCGTATCAAACAGACAGACACACTGTATCAAACAGACACACTGTATCAAACAGACACACTGTATCAAACAGACAGACACACTGTATCAAACAGACAGACACACTGTATCAAACAGACACATTGTATCAAACAGACACACCACATCAAACAGTCACACCGCATCAAACAGTCACACCGCATCAAAAAGACACACCGCATCAAACAGACAGACACAGTGTATCAAACAGACACACCCTATCAAACAGACACACCCTCTCAGACAGACACACCGTGTCAAACAGACACACCCTCTCAGACAGACACACCGTATCAAACAGTCACACTGTATCAGACACACCACATCAAACAGACACAGTGTATCAAACAGACACACCGCATCAGACATAGTGCATCAAACAGACACACCGTATCAAACAGACACACTGCATCAAACAGACACACCGTATCAAACAGACACAGTGCATCAAACAGACACACCATATCAAACAGACACAGTGTATCAAACAGACACAGTGTATCAAACAGACACACCGCATAAAACACAGTGCATCAAACAGACACAGTGTATCAAACAGATACACTGCATCAAACAGACACAGTGTATCAAACAGACACAGTGTATCAAACAGTCACACCGTATCAAACAGACACACTGTATCAGACACACCGCATCAAACAGACACAGTGTATCAAACAGTCACACCGCGATCGTGACATAGTGCATCAAACAGACACAATCGCGATCAAACAGACACACCGTAATCAAACAGACACCGTGACAAACAGACAATAAAAAATCAAACAGACACACCATAACAAACAGACACAGTGTATCAAACAGACAATAACCGCGATAAAACACAGTGCATCAAAACAGACATCAAACAGACACAGTGTATCAAACAGACACACCGTATCAAACAGACACACTGCATCAAACAGACACAGTGTATCAAACAGACACAGTGTATCAAACAGACACACCGCATCAACACAGATCAAACAGACACACCGTATCAAACAGACACACCGCATCAAACAGACACAGTGCATCAAACAGACACAGTGCATCAAACAGACAGTCAAACAGACACACAAACAGACACACCGCATCAAACAGACACAGTGTATCAAACAGACACAGTGTATCAAACAGTCACACCGCATCAAACAGACACACTGCATCAAACAGACAGACACAGTGTATCAAACAGACACACCCTCTCAGACAGACACACCGTATCAAACAGTCACACCGTATCAAACAGACACACTGTATCAAACAGACACACCGCATCAAACAGACACAGTGTATCAAACAGACACACCGCATCAAACAGACACACCGTATCAAACAGACACACCGTATCAAACAGACACACCGTATCAAACAGACACATTGTATCAAACAGACACACTGTATCAGACACACTGTATCAAACAGACACACTGTATCAAACAGACACAGTGTATCAAACAGTCACACTGTATCAAACAGACACATCGTATCAAACAGACACACCGTATCAAACACACTGTATCAAACAGACACAGTGTATCAAACAGTCACACTGTATCAAACAGACACACTGTATCAAACAGACACACTGTATCAAACAGACACACTGTATCAAACAGACACACCGTATCAAACAGACACACCGCATCAAATATTTACATTGTATCAAACAGACACATTGCATTAAATAGTCACCTTGTATCAAATGGACAGACTGTATCAAACAGACGCATTGTATCCTTTATCTGAGTCCTCCTCACTGATCGGACACAGCTCACAGAGATCGAAATCTTTAATTAATTTATACATAGCCGGTTATAGAATCACTCCATGGTAATAATTAGAACAAAGGCCTCTCTATATAGCAAGAATGGTGACTACTAGAGATGTCCCAAACCGTCCGCGAACTTCTCGCAAACGGTTTGCCGCGAACTCCGGTCAGCTGACATATCCCAGCCAATCTCCGGCAGACCCTCCCTCCAACCTTCAACATGGATGCTGGGAGGGAGGGTCTGCCGGTGATTGGCCGGGATGTGTCAGCTGACCGGAGTTCGCGGCGAACCGTTCGCGAGATCTCTAGTGACTACACAGTGCCCCTACCTTCTCTCCAGCCATGTCCTAAGGAGATTTATTAAAAAACTAACACCCTGTGCACACTCAGGTTATCCATTACAAACAGGCCAAGCTAGCTGTCCATTACACATTATTACAGCCAGCTTGTTAACTAATAAATACTACAGTCAGTCAATTAACCCCTTAAGGACTGAGCCAAATGTACACGTTGTGATCAAAACAAAACGTAAACAAAAACTTGAATTTGCGCTATATGTCTGTTCAGGCGTAATTCACCTCTTTCATATTATGTGCACCCACATTTATTATATATCATTTTATTCAGGGGAAACGGGGCTTTCATTTAACATCAAATATTTAGCTCTGAAACAATTTAATATGAATAAAATAATAAAAAATGGGAGAAAATAAGAATAGTTTTTAAAAAATGTAGTTCTACGTGACCTTCTAACTATGAAAGTCTCATGAATATAAATATGGAGAGTGTTCTTGATCTAGCCAACTGTTGTGAAGGGTGTTTTCTTCACCAGGGAAAGAATTCTTCGGTCATCCACCACAGTTGTTTTCCGTAGTCTCCAAGGTCTTTTGGTGTTGCTGAGCTCACCGGTGCGTTCTTTCTTTTTAAGGATGTTCCAAACAGTTGATTTGGCCAGACCTAATGTTTTTGCTATCTCTCTCTGATGGGTTTGTTTTGTTTTTTTCAGCCTAATGATGGCTTGCTTCACTGATAGTGACAGCTCTTTGGTTCTCATATTGAGAGTTGACAGCAACAGATTCCAAATGCAAATAGCACACTTGAAATTAACTCTGGACCTTTTATCTGCTCCTTGTAAATGGGATAATGAGGGAATAACACACACCTGGCCATGAAACAGCTGAGCAGCCAATTGTCCCATTACTTTTGGTCCCTTGAAAAGTTGGAGGCACATATACAAACTGTTGTAATTCCTACACCGTTCACCTGATTTGGATGTAAATACCCTCAAATTAAAGCTGAAAGTCTGCAGTTAAAGCACATCTTGTTCATTTCATTTCCAATCCATTGTGGTGGTGTATAGAGCCAAAACGATTAGAATTATGTCGATGTCCCAATATTTATGGACCTGACTATGTACATACGTGGTGGTCATATTAAAAAGTGTCTGTTGTGTGGCAGTGGGTTCAAAATGTTACATATAAATTATGTGATATAAAATTACATAAAACCCCAGAAACAATGTTACTACATATATACTGGCCTAAAATAAGGAAGACAGACCAATTTCTAATAACCCACTGCTTGATAGCTGTTAAAATAGTTATAGCAAGAAATTGGAGAGAAAATGTTTTAAAAATCAACCAAATATGTTTATAATTATTATATCAAATTAAAATGGAAAAGGACTATGATCAAGGTCCGAGTAAGTCCTCTGATGTACGGGGAAAAGATTTATATGCCTTATCTAAAATAGATTCGTTTTAAGAAGAAAAGGGGTAAAATCGGAATGATGGAAATGTCTCGCTGACAAAAAAACTAATTATAGGTGGAGGTAGAAGGGAAACACAGGTTTACCAAGATCGTAGTATTGAGAAGATTAGAGAATTACTTAATTCTCTAAATTTATAATTCACGTGTGCCCATCTTCTACACAAATATTTGTGTATTGTCTGATTCTATGGTTTGGTTTTGTTTTTCCTGTAACTTTCTGTCTCATGTCATACACTGATGTTATATGTTCAATGTGATATTTGATATTCAAAAAAAGATATAATAAAACGAATTGGGGAAAAAAAAATATTAGTGTACCAATTATATACCACAGTCCGTTTGTCCATTAATATTACAATGTGCCAAATAAATACCAATCAGTTTGTCAATTATTAATATTAGTGTGCCAATTAAATACCACAGTAAATTTTGCCTACAGTAAATACCAGGTTACAGGTGCCCATTATTAAATATCAATGTGTATGTACTGTTGCCATTAGAATGCAGTGGTGTACTTGTGTGTATGGTTTGTGTTTGTATGTAGTGTTGGTGTTTAAATGAAGAGGTGTCTGTATATAATTTCAGTGTTTTAATACAGGGGTGCATTTGTATGCTGTGTTGTTTTTGAATGAAAGGTTGTATATAATTTTAGCGTTTTAATACAAGGTTGTGTTTTGTACATAACGTTTGTGTTTGATTGCATGGATGTGTTTGTACATAATGTTTGTGTTTGATTGCATGGATGTGTTTGTAATGTTTGTGTTTGATTGCATGGGTGTGTTTGTATGTAATGTTTGTGTTTGCATGGATGTGTTTGTATGTAATGTATGTGTTTGATTGCACGGATGTGTTTGTATATAATGTTTGTGTTTGATTGCATGGATGTGTTTGTATATAATGTTCGTGTTTGATTGCATGGATGTGTTTGTATGTAATGTTTGCATGCTGTCTTGGTGTTTGCTGGGATACATACACATTAACACACAGATAAACACTGATACATACACATACACAAACGGACACATATGTGCACAATCTTTAATACAGACAGATACATGTCGTAATTGTAAGATTTGCCACCACCCTCCTGTAAGCATGACTTGTGTGTGCAGGTGAGTGGCATGCTTGGGGTCTTGGTGCTGCTGGCTGAGGCTGATGGGAGCGAGTGTGGAGTGTGCAACAGCTCACTCCTTGCTTCTCCTGCCCCTGCCTCCTCTCCCTCACCTGCACGGCCCTTTCTGTATTTGGGTGACCAGCCCTCACGTCGTCCCAGCATCCAATATTACAGGGGCCCAGTCACACTGTTAAAGGGATGCGGTACCCGACCAGTCCCCTGTTCAGCCATAATACCCATCAGGACATTGCAGTAACATCTAGCACAATGCTGTGACACACCACTTGCTGAATAATATGCGCCTTTTTTGCTGCAAATGATCAGTTCTGACTATTCTTCCACTAATACCCTTGTACCCTTTCTTTCATTCTTTTTTCCTTATTATGTTATTATTTATGTTACTTTTGGTGTAACATTTAATTTATAATTAGATTTTTATTTCTGCATTTTTTTTATGCCAGAATTATTTTGACATAGAAAGGTAAGCAGAATACACACAGGATATTTGAACAGTATTCTTAGTTATTACTATAAGTCATGAAGGGACAAACAAAACGGTCAAGAGTGTAAGATGTGGCACATTACAAACAACTTGTAAAACACTGATTTATTGGAACAGATTTTGAGCTATTTAAAGATGTTTCGCAATACGTATCCAATATAATAAGTAATCAATCTCCCCTACAATTCTCAAATGTTCTTATAATGCAGATCAGCATCACTTTATACGTACACTCCAACGTGGGTTTCAGTTTTCACAGTATGACTTCTATAAGCCGATAAGCTGTGTGTGAAAAAATATCAGCCCTGTAGTGTGCAACATTCAGGAGAAAAATAATAATAATAGTTATCCCACCCCCAACCCCAACCCATTAAGGGTTTAATGGCCACCAAGATCCCTTTGCATTTGTTTTTTTAACCGGTGCCCCGTTTTGTGTATGTTTATACCACAGAGCTCCACAGCAATAAGACTCCCAGTAATGAACAGGAATGTGCAATGTATAAATATCCCACTTGAATGAGTGTAGGTCACATAGCTCCACAGCAAATAACTCACAATAATGAGTAAAGTGTACAAGTATCCCAGAGCTCCCTAGTAATAAATAGCATACTCTCAGCCAGGCTATGTGCTGCACAGTTTGAATCCATGCACTAAACCAAAGTTAATATATTTAGGAATTATTTAAACACTTTTGGTTACATTCTAGATTCAGTGTTCTGGAGTGGCCATCTCTTTGACCACAGCACCAAAAAACACCTTTATTTGTAATTTGAAATGATTGGAGATATGTAGCTCTCTGTATTTAGAAAAGCTATCATCTCCACACTCAAACTCTTCTTATTTCATGGCAACTGTATTTACAGGGTTATTCACTTAATTTTACAGGTACATTATAGTCACCAAAACAACATTAGCTTAATCAGGCAGCTTTGGTGTCTAGATCATGCCTCTGCTCAATTCTCTGTCATTTAGGAGTTAAATCGCATTTGTTTCTGTTTATGCTGCCCTAGCCACACCGCCCCGGCTGTGACACATACCCTGAATGAAAAAAAATAAAGGTTTTATTTTCAAGCATATGATAACTTACTTTAGAAGTTTTTTTAATCTCCTGCTTTGCAAATCGAGCTTCAATCATACACACAAGGCTCCTGCAAGGTCTAGCAATCTAGTAACAGTGCAGGAGATTAATAAAAATTCTAAATTAAACTGGGGTGTCTTTTTCAAATGGTATGGCATGATGGTGTGGGGGAACAAGTAGCAAGAGAGGTGAGAAAGGACAACAGCTCAATTAGCCTGCCCTTTGGTGGGTCCCCGCTCAGATGTCAAGCTGGTTTTAGCTCATTTAGCCTTTACAGAGAGAACAAATCAGACTGGTCCCACACGTACGGGCAGTACAAATCCGAAATGCCAGCAAGTTCTCTCTGCACGAGAGATACAGCAACCCCAGACGATCGTTTCAACCTTTTAAGATATCATCATAGCCAATATCCCTCTAGGCACCGTGAGCAAGGGGTCCACGTCTGGAGTGCCCTTTAAACTTAAGGAGAGAAAAACAAGTAGCAAGAGAGGTGAGCAAGTCTTACATTTGACCCTTTTAAATTACGTTACATTACGTTAACGTTATAGCAAGAGGAGGAGGAGCACAGCTTGTGCTTATCTACTGGAAAGTAGTATGACGACCAAAAGTGACACTTTGTGATTTTTACATACATACGGTACGTTGATATAAAGAATGAATATATATGTAAGCAAACAAGCGGTTAATTGAACATTCACCCTGCTACATGCATGATCTGCTCAGTTATCCAGAGCCAGTGACAGCCTGCATCTTTACTCGATCTCTGTCCAGTCACCTCTTCATGCAGAAACACTTGTTCACACTGAGAATCTGTCCAATCATTATAAGAACCTTCCCTTGATCTGAAGAATCTGCTCCTCGATCCAGAGGCACTGACGATTTACTTTCTTGTGCTGATACTTAACTCATTCACTTCAAGACTGATGGAATCGGCAGTTTGAGGTCTGCTCAATGAGGCAATCAGCATTTGTGATCTTGTTTATTTTAATTTTAAGAAAAAGTGAAAGACTGAGACAAACAGTGACGTGTGAAACACTAAATTCATAATATTTTAATTGTATCTGTTAGCGTGTGTGCTGACTCAGGCACTGGGAGAAACAAACAGCTCTATGTAACCTGAAAACATATCAAGAAATCTGGTCCCATGAATTAAGCTACGTTTCCCCTTATATAAGTGAAGCCTGCAGGATAATGACGTTAATCCAGGATATGAGAGTGAGTATTCTAAATTTACGGTTGGAGAATATATCTCAAAATGCACCTAGATCACGAATTAATGAGGAATAATAATTACTAGTGCAGCACTATGCAGTGCCTTCAGGAATTGCTAATATATCCACTTTAAGAAAGGCGGTCGTCAACAGATAAACTGCATCGGCCACAAGCTAAGGACTTACACCCTGTATTTGTTATAACACAAACGCTGATATTTCTATGTGGCCGATGCTAGTGAGTAAATACCCTGCAAGGTAATGAAGCCAACGTGTAAATGGCTTGTTTTCTTAAGGATTTATTCACTAAACTGGGAGGCAAAGAAACTGCAAAAGTTAAGCCAAACAGCTGGAAAAAAAAAAAAAATCTGCGGACTTGACCCTAAAGTTGGAATTTTTTGTGACAATTCCTCCCAATCTGGTGACTAAACCACAAAATAATGGTGGGGATACTTTGGACTCTCCCTACACTATTCACTGCTCAGTAGGTGGAACTTAGAAAAAGAAATACAATCAAAATAACACAAATCTCTCTCTATGGCCAATAGTGGAATTAATCGGTCAATTGGAAGTTTCAGAGAGGTTGCAGAGCACAAAGATTCTAGAATTCTGTGGCTGTTGCTTCTTTCGACATGATATGACTGTGCATTAAGAAGCCTCATTAAAATAAAAACTCCAAAAGAAGACTTGTTTGATTGCTCGTGTAACAATCTAATTACAATTATATTGTTTTAAGCAGGATTACACTGAAATTAAGGCCAACTCTTTCAAGGTCCTATTGAAAGATAATCTAATAAAATATTGCCGATTAGCAGAAGTAACCCCAGCACAGCCAGGGGACGGAACAATTCATTTTTTAGGCATTTGAGGCAGAGAGGAGGTTAAATCGGATCTGTAAGTGAGGAAACCTGAAAAAACAAGGCTGCAATCTGACATATTGGATAATATCAACGTAGTGTAAAATGGGTAAAAAGGGGGCAACGGTGGCAGGTTATTATTCTATAAGGGTCTCTCAGTTCAGGTATACCATCTCATTATCTCTTGGCTCTAACAAAGTACAAGGCATTGGTTTTGGGGTAGTATTTGACATTTTGTTTCTTGTCCATTAGTCCCCCAAATATGATGAGCTCCCCTCGGCCCTGTACAACTGTGTGCAGGCTGGTTTCTGGGGGTCCCACCACTGAGCTGCTGTTAAACAACTTCCACTTTACACGACCTTTTTCCCGAGTTCCCTGAATGTTCAAGGCGTACATCTGCATGGGTTTGCAGTTCATGCTTTGATATAGCGGTTTGCCAACATTAAGTGATTGAGGCGGGTGATGTCCTAGACGTCTGGCAATAGGGGGTAGGGAGTGTCCATCACCTTGGGTGGGGGCTGCACGGGGAGCAGCTGCAGCTTCAGCTCCATTGCTGGGTGAGCTGGGTGAAGACAGTGTAGGGGGGCTCAGTGGGGTGGCCCCACCTTGTGATGAAGAAGAAGGGGGAGATGTAGTTAAGGCCCGGACAGCTTCTAATCCTCTACGGAGTTCTCCTGGAGAAACCGCCCCAGACAGAGTAGTTGTGATGAGTGGGGGAGTGTGAACTCCATTGGTTTGCTCTGATGGTATACGACTGGCAGTGTCTAACTCCAACTCCCGTTTTTTCTCCCACGTGCAGTCTGATGCACCCAGACACAAATCCTTCTGCTCAGGCAGTGAGCCCCTACGAATAGGAACTGAGCTAGGGGCTTTGGTGTCATAGCCCTCTGCAGCAGGCAATGACACTACCAGCAAGGGGCTGTCTAGGGCGGCTGCTGGTGACAGGCTACCACCATTAAGGACAGGGGACAGACCATCACCCCGTGCAGGGGACAAACTGCCTTCTCTGGAACCACATGTAGTCTGTCTCTGAGCTCGGGGCCGTAGGGTTCCCCAGCGTCCATTCACACAGGGTGCTTCATCAGGGGCTCTAACAGGCGAGTGGGAGCGGAAGTCTCGTGTCTCAGGAGCCAGGGATGGAGGTGTAGCACTGATTGGAGATGGACGAGAGTTCAAGCTGGGACTGAGAGGAGCACGGCCGCTGGGTGCCTGGCTAAAGACCACCACACATTGTCCAACCTGTGTGAAAATAAACCCAGAACGTTACACCTTAAAGAGCATTCAAAGCTATAGAGTATCCCACTCCCATGCACTTTGTAAAAAAACAAACAAAATTAGTTTTATTTTAGTTTCTAAAAGCAAGCAGCCCATGCCAACAGAGGCACAATATTCCTTATAAGGAGAGCTCTCTATAATTGCTGTCCTCTTGGCATCGAATACTGGAGGTATGAAAAGATCAGAAATGCTCTACTACAACACAAACACTTTTATAGCTTCAAGTGAGAGGCCTGGAATACAACAAAAGATTTTATCATTTTTCGCTCAAGATTTCATAAACCTGTAATTTTGCATACATTGCACACAGACATACGTGTCAAATAAAAATACAATGTTCATCATACCATTGCTCAGATATGGACTATGAACCTGCGTATTACAAAGTCTGTGGCTACCCTGATCTGTATCCTTACCCTGCATGCAGGATGGCACCAGAGTTCAGGGGCACCGTGCTCATCGTTCTCCACTTTAAGCTGCTGCCAGGTCCAAGGGTTGGTATGCATGTGAAGTAACCAGGCGTCTTTAAACAGCTGTAAACACACACAGATCAGCAATGTGAGCAGCGGTCATATTAAATCAACAACAGCAAGCTGAGAGATTAACGTGAAGGAAAGAGACGAGACAAATAGTGAAAGGAAAAAAAGACCCTCTCAGCCAAAAGTAGGATTTTACACAATTGTCCTGTATATAAAAAAAAAAAAGTATTGGGTTAGGTTCAAAAAGTGGAGCAATCAGAAGGAACATTCCACTATGTTTGGATAGAAACACAAAGCACAACAGTTTTTAATGTTAATAAATAATTTGAATTGGTTAACAAAGCAAAAGACATTGAAATATGGAGCCTGTTTATTTTGGAGACACACTTAACAATAATTTATGGTAAATATACTCACAGCGTTAGGACCTCCACAACCTCCCAGAATCAGAATAGTGTCATTGTCGATAACAATCTGCAAGATGGATACACATTGGGTTAGAACGGATAGAGAATATTGGACAATGTGTAGCCCACTAACACCGAACCCCCACCGAGTCATGTTAACTAACAACATAGAATTAATCTCACATCTTTCCTGAAAAGCAACAGGTTAGGTACGAAAAAATCCACCAGATTATTATTTGTCGATAAGCAGTATGATATTTATCAACCTCACCTACTACAGTAACATTTAACAGATGAGGATGGAGAGAAAGTCCACTCAGGACACAATGAACCTCACTTCACTTGCTGGCAGTAATGGGAGACACAATGTTGACCAGTCTATCAGATAACTCTAGTTTTAAGGGGAAGGCCCTCGGTTACCTGGAAATCAGGCTGTGTGGTGGTGTTAAGTGTCAGATCTTTGCACTTTTTGCTTTAACCCTTTATGAACAACTAGCGGTTAAATAAAGGGATTAACCAACCATAGTCACTCGGAAGTTCTGCAGAGATATTTACCTGAGATTGTCCTCCTCTGGGGTGGGGACAAGGACCAGATATTTTGGGTTTTGACCATGACCATTGTTCCAGATCCAGTATCCAGACATCATTACTCCTGTATTTTGGGTAAAAGGTGAAAAACACAAGACCGTACACATTAAAACAGGGAAGAGGTAAGGGGCAGCCGGCAGTAATGTAAGTTCTTTGCCATGACGACACTGAAACAGGACTTGGCACCTAGGATTTGTCAGAACCAATCGACTGACTGTGCTCACAGGCTGCAAATGGAGTGTAGGAAGGTTGATAGTAGTATGGGAGAGTGGCTGATGAGGTTTGAGACTATAGCTAGCAGTGGGTGATTATCTGTTGCAAATAAACATTTTGTCTGCCACTTAATTCAGTGGAAATATATCAATGCATTGTTTATATATTGCGACATGCGATATGTTATTTTCATGTTTGGTACATTATTTCCTTCCGGTCTAAAAAGTAAGGAATGTGGATCAGGAGAAAGTAGCAGTTAAAAGATTACTTACATTTGTCGAGCTCCCAGCGAACCCCCAAAGACAATCATTTTATCGCCAATGACACATGACGAATGGCCAGCCATAGGAGGGGGCCCATGAGTTGTCACTATACAATTCCACCTTGAAAGAAAGAATCAGCATTATTTTAGAATACCCTCAATGGACTTGAAAAAACAGCAAAAGCTAAATGTGCCCTTTCTGGTTTAAATCATTTCATGTTATTCATTTTTTAACAGAGCAAAGTCTAAAAACGGGTATGCCATTAAATATCTGAATGGTCTTGCCATTTAGGTCCACGCTTACCAATTCTTGGAGGGTGAATAAGTATGGATTTCATCAAAGAAGCGTTCTGGTTGATGGAGCGGATAGGGGCTTGGGCGGGTCCACCCTCCAAAAAGAACTAGCAGTTCTTTGTACACCACAAGCGTAGCTCCAGCCTTGGGTGAAGGGTAGGAACCTGGAACAGAAACCGTGCAAATTAAGAAAGTTATATAGCTTGCCCCAAATTAACCTTCTGTGTGCCAGAGGTGTGACTAATGCAAGGCTTTCACCCCATTCCCAGAAGTGTAATTCCATTTACATGCTGCATAGCGAGTGGAGCTGTGCTGTAGCATACTACATACATACATTAAGTAAATAATCAGGAGAGTTCATCTTTAGAGCTTGTAGTCTGCCTGTGTGCTCATCAGTCACAATATCCACGTAACAATTTAACAGCCATTCCGCCTATCCCTTTCATGACCTTACATCCCCTGTGAGATTAAATTTGGGGCAAGCTATATCTGAGATACTAAAAATTGATAAAAGCACATTCAGATTAACCTTCTGTGTGCCAGAGGTGTGACTAATGCAAGGCTTTCACCCCATTCCCAGAAGTGTAATTCCATTTACATGCTGCATAGCGAGTGGAGCTGTGCTGTAGCATACTACATACATACATTAAGTAAATAATCAGGAGAGTTCATCTTTAGAGCTTGTAGTCTGCCTGTGTGCTCATCAGTCACAATATCCACGTAACAATTTAACAGCCATTCCGCCTATCCCTTTCATGACCTTACATCCCCTGTGAGATTAAATCTGAATGTGCTTTTATCAATTTTTAGTATCTCAGATTGTCAAGTGCCCAATATTTAAATAGAAATAAGTAAATAAATTAAAAACCCATCACAACTAAAACAAACTGCAGCAGGTTCTGGCACTCGGTAGGGGCCCAGCACTGCATAACTAGATTAAAAAAGCAGATATTTTACTGGGCTCACAGCAAGACTGTTAAATAGCAGCCAAAAAACTCAGTCATTGTACATCGCATTACAGAAATTGATAGCTGAGAAGTTGATAGCTGAGAAATAGATCTATTAAACCATTCAAGTGTTAGTGGTCTATGTATCTCTCATATTCCATCATGAGGTGTGTTAGATATATGCTGTTGGGAGCTTTTCCAGACTACAGAAGGCACTCTATCTGGCACGGCTCATCCCATTAACATTCCAAATTACGTTGTCACTGTGTGCTGCCAACGCGGAACCGACACTGCAATGCATTCAGAATTGAGAACTGGACCCTCGAGAATAATTGTGTTACTAAGAGGAATGGAGACGCAGGGCCTGAACCACTACAGCAGGATCCGCAGACACTATAAAGATTAGGTGAATGCGGTCACTTGGCATAGTGCCACACATGTAATTAAACAGAAACATAGCCTTCTGGGAATCACATTTGAAATTGGTGTAAAAATATAAAGCGTGCCTGAGGGGAATTAATCCACTAAACACATTACTTTCACCCTCAGGACTGACATACTAAACCTATAAATGGGGATTGGAGCTGTGTGTATGCTCTGACATTAACCCAACATATAGTGATATTAAGGGTTCAGCATACCATAACTTTGATCAGGATGTGCCCACTTCAAACTATGCTGGACAGTGAACAGGACTGGGTGGCCGCTCAATGCTTCAAGCTCTCCAAGCATTGCTGGATAAAGGCTACATTTTAATTGTGGGTTTCTAAATGGATTTTTTTTTTTACAAAGGTTGGTAAGCTGAGTGTACAGAGCAGCAAAGTTCTTTGTTAGTGCACCTGCTGTTGACTACATCTCCCATGATGCTCAGCTGAATCCTAGTCTGGTCTCTTAAGAGGCACAGTTCACAAATATGCTGAGTTTATACTTTGAACAGATAATAGAAAAAGCTGTCAAACTCCCATAACCCTCAGCACTATTAAGCTTGATAGACGTTGGCTGAGAGTCATGGGAGTGAGGCTCAGTCAGAATCATTGCATTAATAATGGTATACTGCCAATATATGTGCCACGGTAAATAAGACAGGGACACAGGCCGGACAAGTCAATACATTGCTGGCAGATAAAGCATTCACTAAAGCAGTGTTAATAGGAATTCAGATGATCTCAGGAAGTGTGTGGGGCAGCATTCTTTTTTCCATGCCATTCCAAGGACTGTTTACCCTGAGATCTGGTCCATACTCTCGGTCTGTGAACTGCCTCACTCACACCGACAATGATGCAGGCAGGAGGGGCTGTGATCGGGAGCAGAGCAGCTTCAGGAACAATTCTCAGAGAATGTGCACATACAACCAAGTCACCAAGATATTTCGGGGCCACGAATCCTCAAACAAGTCAAACTCACAAAATGGAAAATTCTTTCATTTTCAGTAATTTAGATCAATGACGACGATCAATGAAAGCAAATTTACATATGTCATTGTTTGGGTCAAAGTTCTCATGTTTAGCTCTAGGGCAGGGGTAGGCAACCTTTGGCACTCCAGATGTTGTGGACTACACCTCCCATAATGCTCTTACACTCATAATGCTGGCACAGCATCATGGGAGGTGTAGTCCAAAACATCTGCAGTGCCGAAGGTTGCCTATGCCTGCTCTAGGGAATAACAGGTGAGGTACTCAGCCGCCCCCATCGCCATGTTTAAAACTGAAAGCAAAAGCTGACATACCAAAACCAGACTTCTGCAGCCACAAGGCAAACTTCACAGCAAGTAGCACATCCACATCCCCAGTAACCATCTAATAAACCTCCATCCACATCCCCAGTAACCATCTATTAAACCTGTATCCACATCCCCAATAACCATCTATTAAACCTCCATCCACATCCCCAGTAACCATCTATTAAACCTCCATCCACATCCTCAGTAACCATCTATTAAACCTCCATCCACATCCTCAGTAACCATCTATTAAACCTCCATCCACATCCCGAATAACCATCTATTAAACCTCCATCCACATCCCCAGTAACCATCTATTAAACCTCCATCCACATCCCCAGTAACCATCTATTAAACCTCCATCCACATCCCCAGTAACCATCTATTAAACCTCCATCCACATCCCCAGTAACCATCTATTAAACCTCCATCCACATCCCCAGTAACCATCTATTAAACCTCCATCCACATCCCCAATAACCATCTATTAAACCTCCATCCACATCCCCAGTAACCATCTATTAAACCTCCATCCACATCCCCAGTAACCATCTATTAAACCTCCATCCACATCCCCAGTAACCATCTATTAAACCTCCATCCACATCCCCAGTAACCATCTATTAAACCTCCATCCACATCCCCAATAACCATCTATTAAACCTCCATCCACTTCCCCAGTAACCATCTATTTAACCTCCATCCACATCCCCAATAACCATCTATTAAACCTCCATCCATATCCCCAATAACCATCTATTAAACCTCCATCCACATCCCCAGTAACCATCTATTAAACCTCCATCCACATCCTCAGTAACCATCTATTAAACTTCCATCCACATCCCCAATAACCATCTATTAAACCTCCATCCACTTCCCCAATAACCATCTATTTAACCTCCATCCACATCCCCAGTAACCATCTATTAAACCTCCATCCACATCCCCAATAACCATCTATTAAACCTCCATCCACATCCCCAGTAACCATTTATTAAACCTCCATCCATATCCCCAATAACCATCTATTAAACCTCCATCCACATCCCCAGTAACCATCTATTAAACCTCCATCCACATCCCCAGTAACCATCTATTAAACCTCCATCCACATCCCCAATAACCATCTATTAAACCTCCATCCACATCCCCAGTAACCATCTATTAAACCTCCATACACATCCTCAGTAACCATCTATTAAACCTCCATCCATATCAACAGAAATGCACCCCAATATTAAACCCTGATTTACATCACCAGCAATGCTCCCCAATATTAAACCCCGATTCACACCAGCAATGCTCCCCAATATTAAACCCAGATTCATATCACCAGAAATGATCCCAATATTAAACTCAGATTCACATCACCAGAAATACTCCCTATAATATACCCCAATTCACATCACCAGCAATGCTCCCCAATAATAAACCCAGCTCCACATCACCAGAAATGCTCCCCAAAATATACCCCAATTCACATCACCAGCAATGCTCCCCAATAATAAACCCAGCTCCACATCACCAGAAATGCTCCCCAATATTAAACCCAGTTCACATCACCAGAAATGCTCCCCAATATTAAACCCCGAATCACATCACCAGAAATGCTCCCCAATAATAAACCCAGCTCCACATCACCAGAAATGCTCCCCATTATTAAACCCAGTTCACATCACCAGAAATGCTCCCCAATATTAAACCCCGAATCACATCACCAGAAATGCTCCCCAATATTAAACCCCAATTTACATCACCAGCAATGCTCCCCAATATTAAACCCAGTTCACATCACCAGAAATGCTCCCCAATATTAAACCCCAATTTACATCACCAGCAATGCTCCCCAATATTAAACCCAGTTCACCTCACCAGAAATGCTCCCCAATATTAAACCCAGATCCACATCACCAGCAATGCTCCCCAATATTAAACCCAGATTCACATCACCAGCAATGCTCCCCAATATTAAACTTAGATTTTCATTACCCACACAGAAGATAAGATCTCTCTCAAAGCCAGTGAAGGGTTAATTGCCCCCAGTAACACTATCCCTTATAAAAGCTGAGTATCGAGAAAGCAGGATGTATCTTTCTGGTTAAATCCTGGTTTAAACGTGTGATCATGGAGCCTCACAGAGCTGCAGGCTAGCACCAAGTACTTCACAGGCTCCTGCAGTCAGTCGACTGACAGTTGGCACATACTGGGCACGGAAGTCCTCTGAGTACTGCGGCAGTCAGAGATCTATGTTTCTGAATGAAATTGGTGCAGGCGTTCCCTTAGTCGAACCCACATAAAACCAGGTTACAGACGGTCAGTGAACGCAAAGGACCTCTGCTTCAGCGTGTCGCTTGTTAGATGGCTTGGAGGAAATACAATGGCATGTATCTTTAAAGTACACGCCATTTTATTCCCGGAATGAGTGCATTCTTTTTTTATGATTCTATTGACTATTGAAGTAAAATAAATAATATTAGTGTCACATTAATACCGCTATGACTTGGAGTAGGTAAGCGCAAACTAACTCTGGGATCTGAGTGATATTTAAATCAATCTCAATAAGGGCCATTGTGGTACTAAATGGAACATCTGATAACCTCTAAAATGTAGTTGATTCATGTGATACTGTGAGATGTCGAATATGCTTAGTTAACCCTGTAAGTGCCTATCTGGTGGCGTGACTAAGTACCTTGTGACCTGTAGTATGGGTTTCACAAGCTCATATCTTTGGGAGAAATCTTCATGGTAAGTGCTCAGGGCCCAATCTCCCTTGCCGCTACCTAAACCACATGTTGTAACACAGCAACATTGGGCATTCTTCCAGAATGAGCTAATAACTGGAAGCCTGTAGCATGGCATTGCCCGGGAAGGAGAAGGCAGGGTGGGTTTGTGGTTAGCACCCCTCCCGTGGGATACTTTTGCACTGTGCATTCTCAGGGTGCATGCAGAGAATTAAAAAGAAAAATCCCATTAAAAACTGTCCATGTGAGCAGCCAGCCTGTCATACACTGTGACAAACATGTTAATAAAACTGAAATCTCATCTTCCAAACAATCACACTTGCTGATATCCCGACACACCTTAAAGAGAGATTACAGAGAAAAGGAAAACAATGAAGAAACATTAAAAACAACAGTAATCACTGCTACTGTTACAAGCAGATATCGGTCTTCACTGCCCGCAGAGTTCCATTTCTTTGTTGGACTGGAAGGTGGGCAGAAAGGGTGATTTCAAACAAGCGCATCTGCTCTCAAATAGACTCAATAACTGCAAAATTACTGGCTCCGAACATCACCAGTGGAAATAGAGCCAAGACAATTCTACAGACAATCGTTCACGGAGTCAACAGATTAAATTGTTCATTAGTACACTGCCCGTTAACACAAGTCAAATGAATGGGGCACATGAAATATTCCATCCTCGTCTTTCTCTCCAAGGGGCACAGTGAACATAGCCTTGCAGTGGATGGTCAGTGAGTATCGAGAAGGAATTCTTCTTCTCAACCTCCAGTAACCTGTGCCTATATAACATGAGGGGGAGTTTGACACCTAAGCCATGCCAAAGTGCTGCTGTGTAAGGACGGGTACTAATCAGAACTAACCCCAAGAAAGTTGTGAATTGAGTCCAGAGGAGGTAATGCTGGCAGTGTGGCACATGGTTAATGGGAACTCACCTGAAGCCAGTGGTCGGATCCATTCTTTGCTATTCAGGTCCAGCCTCCACAAGTCATTGAAGGCTGCGTTACAGCTACTTTGCGTGCAGCCCCCAAACACATACATTGATTGATTGGAGTCATAATAGCATGCACCTGGATAGGGAACAAAGAACAGTTATTCACTGTATATATAGAACCACACACAGACTGATCACAACGAACAGTTATTCACTGTATATATAGAACCACACACAGACTGATCACAATGAACAGTTATTCACTGTATATATAGAACCACGCACAGACTGATCACAATGAACAGTTATTCACTGTATATATAGAACCACGCACAGACTGATCACAACGAACAGTTATTCACTGTATATACAGAACCACGCACAGACTGATCACAACGAACAGTTATTCACTGTATATATAGAATCACACACAGACTGATCACAACGAACAGTTATTCACTGTATATATAGAACCACAAACAGACTGATCACAATGAACAGTTATTCACTGTATATATAGAGAAACACACACAGACTGATCACAATGAACAGTTATTCACTGTATATATAGAAACACACACAGACTGATCACAACGAACAGTTATTCACTGTATATATAGAACCACGCACAGACTGATCACAACGAACAGTTATTCACTGTATATATAGAACCACGCACAGACTGATCACAACGAACAGTTATTCACTGTATATATAGAACCACACACAGACTGATCACAAAGAACAGTTATTCACTGTATATATAGAACCACACAGACTGATCACAATGAACAGTTATTCACTGTATATATAGAATCACACACAGACTGATCACAATGAACAGTTATTCACTGTATATATAGAACCACACACAGACTGATCACAATGAACAGCATGCAGCTAAACAGTGAAGATCGAGAAGCATCCCCTGCATAGATGTCACCAGAAGGGGATTCCACAAACACAAAACCACATGTTACAAAAAAGGCCAGTAATATAAAAAGGTCAGCTTCTGGCAATCAAATTGCTTATTAGTGAGTTTTAAAAGATAAACAGTTACCAGAAAGGGCCTTTAAACTAAGCACCCAGCATGCGAAAGAGAAGGAGGACCTCAGAACAGGTAACTGGGTTTGGTCTTTAGCCCTACACCTCCAGTGCATTGTGGGACTGATTGCTGTACTGAATGCAGCATTTATACTACACGTCCATAAATGCAGATTATACAATACGTTCATCAGACTTTTCTCTAGTCCCAAATCCTGCACTAAGAATGGACTGTTATAGCCATGACTGTGCTCTCACTCTCCTACTTCATACAATACACACAAATAAAATGCTGTGTTTCAATGAAAAGGAATGATTTATTTAAGAAACCTTTGCCTGTTCTTGCAATGAGAGGTCAGGAGCCAAGCCACTCTGAATACTCGCACTGCTTCTATTCTGGTATAACGGCCAATATGTCCATGGAAGCAGCTAATCTCTAAAATCATGTATAAACAATCATTAATCTGCCCTGATGGCCACAGCAGCCACCGGAAGAGGAATGTGTTTTGGAGAATGTCCCATACTATACGATTAGCAAGTAGCTGTGTGAGCTCCAGAGCTCTCCTTGAGATTTGTAGGCACTATTTTAAATAACGTTACTAAAAGCAAACTGCGCCACGTACTGTGGGAAAAACGCTGAGTAATTGGAGTTCCTGGGTAGGGGTACGTCCGACTTTCCCACTGGATATTCCCATCCTGGACTGCCTTTATAAATCCATGATAGCACTGATGGGCAACTCCTGGAAAAAGCAATAAACCATATAGTTAGTTTCAGAGACAGATTGGAGCCCCACATAGATCTGTCCACTACACCCTAAATAACTTACCCCATAGTTTTTATCATAGCATCTATGTTCCACAATGTGTATAAGGGACATACACACATTGTTCTTATATACATTTATTTTTTACAAAATTAGTTAATACAATATTAAGTACAATGCATAATCAAAGCTTCATAAACTGACATACACAAACATATTGGTTAGTCACTATTACAATAAAACTGTGGCCTTTTAAAACTTTATCCCCCTGCCTTAGGACCACAAACATTCTATTGTAATTTCACATACAGAACATTCATTGTAATCACAACTCATTGTAAGGGGTAATCACACCACTACGAAGATGGGAAAAAGTATTCCTGATACAATGAAACAAGGGGTGAGCTCCAACTGCTTTCGCTAGCCGAAGGCTGGCTTTATCATGGAAGTTCTAACATGCCATCAGTTAGAGATTCACTACATTGAGTTCTAGAACACGGTAGTGGCTGACTGATAGTGCGACACTGTGTTGGAATAATGAGAGGAGAGATTTCAATGTGAATGCTTCAGCTCTAAAAGAGTCTTTCCTGAAAAACCGCAAAGCAACAGATTGTGCAACCTTCCCAAACTCTCACTTAATTTCTATTTACCCTTAAAAGGAAGCAAACCTGAAAATTGGGCAGAGAGCCATAAAACAGACATAATTCCACAGGCAAGAATACATAATTCTCAAAAAAAGAAAATACATTGAAGTTTAAAGCAGATCCCGGCCAGAGAGGCCGACGACAGAGCCTTCCTATAGACTGCAGTCAGTTACAGCTGTAGGCATTTTTTAAAATTATTTTTTTAAGGCATTTAAAGAAATTTTTCACTAATGTCAGGGGAGGTTCCCATACAGTGTCCAGCTCAACATATACAGAAGAAAAACTGTGAATGGAAATTTCAGGGCGGAGCCGAATGCCTTTTAGTACATCTTGGAGATAATTATTAAACTAATAACAAGCGATGGTTAATGCAGTCATAATGATCTGTTCTTTAGGGATCCTCTTAACAAAATTCAAATAAAGCCCACGCTGCTAGCCTGGACTAAAAGGTAACCGCTGTAGAAAATTCCTCCTCTAAGTGATCTCTGGGAAGGGATAACATAAATGCAGGCATAGGGGACTGCTGTAACGTCATTTCAGATTAAACATTAATCACAGACATTTCTGGAGAGCAATGCATACAACGCTTGAGTGTCTCTGCACATGTACAAGGAGAGAGAAACCTACTCCAGATCTCTCTTCCATTTCAATCTGTCAACCTGTCTGGGGGAATACACTGCTTGCATGGTGCCTGAGTTGTGTTAGGGCTGATGGGCAGATTTTGACTCATCAGTCTCTACAAGACTTATAACAACTGGTACCCTGTTCTGTTTAAAGGAACACTAAAGTCACCTAAATTACTTTAGCTAAATAAAGCAGTTTTAGCGTATAGATCATTCCCCTGCAATTTCACTGCTCAATTCACTGCCATTTAGGAGTTAAATCACTTTGTTTCTGTTTATGCAGCCCTAGCCATACCTCCCCTGGCTATGATTGACAGAGCCTGCATGAAAAAAAAAAACTGGTTTCACTTTCAAACAGATGTAATTTACCTTAAATAATTGTATCTCAATCTCTAAATTGAACTTTAATCACATACAGGAGGCTCTTGCAGGGTCTAGCAAGCTATTAACATAGCAGGGGATAAGAAAATCTTAATTAAACAGAACTTGCAATAAAGAAAGCCTAAATAGGGCTCTCTTTACAGGAAGTGTTTATGGAAGGCTGTGCAAGTCACATGCAGGGAGGTGTGACTAGGGTTCATAAACAAAGGGATTTAACTCCTAAATGGCAGAGGATTGAGCAGTGAGGCTGCAGGGGCGTGTTCTATACACCAAAACTGCTTCATTAAGCTAAAGTTGTTCAGGTAACTATAGTGTCCCTTTAATTCCATTCATGATGGCTGCACACATCAGCCATGCACTCACTTTTATTAAGGTTTTAAAGGGTTACTCCAGCCTCCAAGGTCATTTCTTCTACAATTGGTCATAGAGCAAGGAATCTGGATGTGCAGATTTTCTTATTGAAACATTACACATAAAAAGATATCTGAACTTTTGTGCCGGGTTCTGGTTACACCACCGGCACACAAGACACAGGCAGCTCAGTTACAGACTGCTTAATGTTAGATCTCTGCAAAACATATGGGAGCACTACTGCAAGTGGAAGCTTTTATGTCTCCTCCCAATCTCCCTACATTCATGTGTGTTATTTTTTACTCTATGAAGAGCTGTCATGCCAAAAGCATGAGTTGGTGTTTGATGTGTGTTTATATATGTTAAGAGTAGTTTTTTTTGTAAACCTTGGGATGACATTTATTGTGGTCTTTGATCTTGCACCAGGCCTAGACCATAAAACATCTAGATAGCCATCACCAGAGCTGGACACAAGGAATTTCATAGAGTGGGCAATAGACTGCCAGACCAGCCCCCTCTGATCCCCCCCAGGGGTCTGCCCACTGAGAAACAACTAGTTTAGATATATGAGGGTGTTGGACTATCCAGGGAAGTCAGTTATTCATTTTTCTTTTGTCAGTAACTTCTAGGAGATCTATACCATCTAAGACTCCCACAAGAATTCTATATGGGGTAAATATATGTAAGGAATTTCTTGTGTTTTCTCCTATTTTATTTTATGTACTGTTTTGCAATTTGTTATCTGTATGTCATTTATTTCTGTATTTTGTACTCAGCACTGTGAATCCTTTTTGTCAGATTAAATGTTTACTTAATCAGCTTGTGTCTCTGTTCTCTATGAGCTTCACTCTCCAGAGGAAAGCTCAGGTAAACACGTTACCAAAAGGGGTTAACTATATATGTTTTATCAGTAAAAGTAGAACGGTGATACTAGAATTCTCCTGTGTGTGGGGTAACCTAAGACGCCCGGGTTTAAAAGTCTTGGTGGTGGCAGTAGTACTAAGGGGGATAGTGTAGAAGGGATTGCAGGGGTTAATTGAGTGGTTGCTGGGACTAGCAACAGGTAACCAGGGGTCTGGTGTCATTAACCCTGTCACTTCCACACTCCCCCCACTGTCTCGGCTGGGCCTATAGCCCACGCACGTGACAAGAGCATTTGATTGGAGCAGAGACAGACGAAGTGATGCAGCGTGATGATGCATGGGGCAGGTTCTTCACCAATAAGTAGCAATTCTATTTGGCAGATAAAATAAATGGACCTGCTGACTAAACTGCAGCTACAACAAATGGAGCTATAAATCCATGCATACACACGGCGAGTTGAAAAGGTTTCAAAAGCACAGTCATAATTTATTACAAAGATATCGATAGTTATACAAAGGCTAAGCCTTATATATTCTAAAACCAACACCAGCCTGGGTATACATAACCAATCTAATAGTATACTAAAACGTCAACAAAGGAGAAGGAGGAAATTAATTTCCTGGCAGGTATTCAGGAAGCTACGGAGGATTTAAAAAAAAAAAAAAAAAAAAATTGCACAATTGGTTAACAGAAACAAAGCCAAAAGCAGATAAGTTGTAAAGAAGTAATAACCTCCAAACTATGAGTTTGAGTCCTTTTGCATCTGTGGCAGACAACAGACCTACCAATAAAACAAAATAAAACTCCTTGTGCGAAGAAACCACACACTTTATTCATTAACTTTGATTTTTGTCGTTCGGTAGTTAAAACTACCGAACACAGACCAACCCCTGGCTCATTATCTACAAAGAAAACCGCACAGTAAGTGCTCTCCTTGTGTGGTACGAAAAGAGGCAGCGGGACTTGGTCGTCGAATGTCTGGAACTAAAATCGGACACTCGACTTCCCGAATGCCGATCAACTTCACGAACGCCTGCTTCTTTTCACCAACCAGCCAGGAGAGCACTATTCGGTAGTTTTGTTCCCACGAAGTAGGGGAACAAACGCTACTCATGAGCCAGGGGAACAGTTTGTGAATTTGTTCGGTTTTTAGACTTCCTGAAATGGACAGAACGCTACCTCTGAAACTGTGGAACTGCTTTTGGGCATAGGATCTTGTATGCGATCGGTCAAATTATGACCTTCATGGAAATCCAGAACCTCTGAAACGATCTGGTTGATTTTTGGATATGCTGGTCCCCCAAATCGGGGTTTCCAGGGGAAATGACTTTTGTAGGGGTTTCCATGGGTTTTAAGGTATTTTCTGTGTTTTGTTGAAATGTATGTTTTTTGTACCTGGAGATAATTGAGTTTAGTACAATCCTTGCCTCAATTATCTCCCACGCACAGAGGAAGGATTACCCTATTTATGTGGGAGTGTCCTGGACCTGAGAGCCAATGTACTTACAGTATGTACAGTATTGTCATAGTCCCCTCTCAGGTCCAGTGGAGAACGCCCCTGGAATATGTCACTGTAAACCCTGTGCATGCGTACTTGCATAAAACCGGGCCAGTTTGCCTGAATAAATTCATTCCTGTTGTACCCTTCATCTACTCTAGGCTGATGTTTGGGTATTCGTCTGATTTGCTTGGTGAATTTACTTGGATGCTGTATTTCTTCTGGAGAACGTTCAAATCAACACCTGAACTGCGAGCTATAATCACTCAGCAGTTCGGGAGGAAAGGAATGAACGGGTATCTGAAATACCAGCGTTTGTTATACCTAGCTTACCTTTATTTATTTATATTTAATTCTTTACTTTATTGTGAATAATAAAGAGGCACGCAATGCCACAACAGCAGTTGCTCGCCTGCCAATTCAACATTTATAAACATGTGTTAGGCATACATTAACGTTGCACATTTTATATTATAAAGTATAATATTCGAGAGAAATCTCTGTGTCAACTATAAAATAATATAGAATCGGTACGTAGACAAATTGACACTGCTGGCATAAGGATTGGAAGTCTGGTGATTACAAGCTTAAGTGGGGCATTTCCTGTACTAAAAATCATATAAAGACTTTAAACAGGCGAATATCATGAATCATGCTAGGTTCACATATTAATTACTCAAGTGAGAAAAACACAGAACTAGTGCTGGCTCATAGAAGGTGTACAAACTGGAGTTGAGACCTAGGTATTGGTTGCATAGACACAGTGAGAGTAGGGGCACTGCGTCTATGAGTGGTAGTGAGGTACCTTAGCCTAACCTGTTAAACTTTAGCCAATGTTCGAGCTAAGCGTACTAAATGAGATCAGCTACACATATGAATGTAGAGTACAAAGTTAGGGTGATTCTGCTAATGTAGAGTTTGTGTGGGCTCTAGAAGCTTGTAGAAAGCATTGTGTGTTGTGGGGATATTTATGGGATAATAATAGTAACAGTGAGAATTGCCCACTAATTCAATTCTCAGACCCAAAGATCGTTATCGTGTTAAGTGAGAAGTATTTCATATAAATAATATCAAAATGTTATAAAAATAGATTTTATTTATAATAACAAGTTAATTAATAATAATATGTAACATGCGTGACAATAATCAATGAATATCCAGTATAAAATGATATGCAATACAAAGAAATGGCTACACACGTCTCAACGGCTAAACAGCATTTTCTGTCAAGTCTTCTGATTTATGAGGTATCTTTAACACAGACTGAAAGTGAAACTTTTCACAGCGAAGGGCCATAAAACCCTGGCTAACAGTTAGAATAACCCTTTCAATGCTGGCTAGACCTCCTAGGTAATTAAGATCTATTCTTATGTAATTTTAAATAAAATAACATTTAAACCAGTTCATTAGTCATTTCCTGGAACCATCCAATAAGAGAATCTACCATATTATATAAGCAGATTTTAATTTGTCTAAAAGATATCTTATCTTAATTTAGAGCAAATCAATACACCTGGATAAAAACAGCGGTATGCTAACACGTGATAATATCACATCAATATATAATTATTCTTAATTCCACCTGCAGAATGGAATGTTTATAACTATATATTCTTTAGTTAACTAAGATTTCTTAATATGGAAATCTGACCGTGCTTTATCCAGTCATATATAATGCTATTAATAATTTTAATTAATTTAATTAATTAAATGAAACCAGTATAATTACCAGTTGAGTAGATATTTCATCCGATTGGTAGATAGTCTCAGGAACTTATTTGGATGTCTGTCTGCATTGAGTTATGGTGAAAGGTGGTGTTGGTTAGAAAGTCAGTAAAATTCTAAGTGTTAGAGTTTTAAGAGTAGAGTGTTAGTCTCAGATGTTGTGAGTTGGAGTCCCCAAACTTCCAATTCCTCTCCCCTCTTTTTCTTTCTCCTTTGCATTCTTTGCCTTCCTATCTTCCCTTTGTCCTAACTTTTAAAGGGCCAGACTCTCTGTACGTCATCAGTTGATAACCCAATAGAAGCACTAGAGGTGTGGTTATCTTCCAGATCGCAAATTAGGTATTTGGTCTATAGAGGGCAGTCTTGTCCCACTAAACATACCTATCCAGGAAAGAGTTAACTTTCCTTGGTGGCTATTTTGACGTCATTTTGCGTTATCTTTATAGTGCCATAACTTAAAATTTCAAAGGGTTTCTTTAAGTTTTGTCCAGACTATGTGTCTGGCAAATCTGAGTTTTGACCCATAACTTACAATGGTACCTTACACATATAGACAGTCTATCCAACCCCCGTTCTTCTTATCACTTTTGTTTATACTATGCATTCCTTAGCTCTGGGAAATTGGTTAGTTTTACAGATAGAAATCTTGTGTCTTTTTGTTAACTTGAAAATAACAAAATGGAGTCTGGTCTGTTCAAAATGACTCAGAATATACACTTTTAATTTCTATCATAGCACAAGATGTCTGCCAATATAAATATCCTGACAGTGTGCATCCAGGCTGGATTAGGCTCAAAAATGTGTGTGGGTGCGTTTCAGCGTGTCTACCATGTGAGTGGCATGAGAGAGAGAAAATAACATATCAACACTGGCTATGTTGGGAATTTCTGTGCAGTCGCCTGGGCCCATAGTAGCTAGCTTACCTTTAATGAGTCTGTACCACTGTTTGCACACCAAAGCTGCAGTCTTGTGCTCCTGATATGGAGACAAGAAGGACAGGATGTATTCCAGCACCTCCTCCGGTAGCTCTGACATGGAACGGTTATGTCTGGTCGGCTGTTTCCGAGGATGTTGCTCATAGTCTTGTTCCATCGTTCCTTCTATTCCTTCCACTGCGTCAACAGCCATGAATGCGTCGTCCTCACTGTCAGAGGAGCTAGCCATAGCATCCCACGGACTGTCTGCAGAGAAAGACAGAATAAGTTAATAGGGACCAGGGGGTCACAAGCAGCATGGCTTTCCGAGGTCACCCAAACCAAAAACACGTTATTTGTCATTTTATGGCTCACCCTGTTTTACCCACAAAGTTAGCAATGCCAAACCAATATTTTAAGAAAACCCTTGTAGCCCAGGGCCTTGTAAAGAGAGTGTCCAATTCCAGTACATAAGGGCTTGAAAAACAAATTTTGCCTGAAAAAAATATAGTGTGTAATAATAACCAAAACCCCTGTCTCAAGTAGGGAGGATCTGCAAACCTTATAACCATGGCTGGTGATGGAACCCGAAGCTGCCTGAACAGCCAAACTGGCCTTGCGTAACTCCATCTGTTATTTGTATTTTTGTATCGGTGTTTCTTGAATTTAGGAGCTAGGATCCATGAAAAGGCACAGCCCTGGAGAGCAATGACATACACACAGGAGTAGCAGGGGCTCTCTGGCTAGTGAAGTGTATAAAGCCACTAAAAGTCCTGGAGTGTTGACCAGCACAGTTAAATATGATTTCTTGCAAAAACAGTAACACGGTTTAGGACAACTGTGCTTTGAGCTGCTCATCTCATTAGCTGCCTCATTTCATAAAACAACAATGTGCTATCTGTCTGGGCATGCCGGCGCTTCAGCCCTGAGAACATACATGCAATAAACAGACAAGTTGACAAAAGAGAATTTGGTGTCAAAAAATTTTCACCACCTGCAATGGCAGACAGTAAGGCAGTCAAGTACATGGAATGTCCACACCTGTCAGCTTTCAATAAAGTTTTTCAGAAGTCCCACCTTGACAGCACCTAAACACACAGCTACAGCGGATCACAGCTTTCCAAAGTATAGCATATTCCACTGATCTGTCAGACTCTTACCGGAGTCTGAAATATAGCACCAGTTAGCAGTTTAGAAGGATACTATTAGCGCTGGGGAATTCCTAGCTCTGGACTTTGGTTTGAGCCTCCTGGTAGAGCAGATCACAAACTACCATGCTCAACCACCAATGGGCCACCATGTACCATAGCACATAATGTGTTCCGGTGTGGTTTGTGTAGTGTGTGTGGATGTGGCGCGTGCTGGCTCTGTGTAATGTGTGTGGATATGGCGCGTGCTGGCTCTGCGTAATGTGTGTGGATGTGGCGCGTGCTGGCTCTGTGTAATGAGTGTGAATGTGGCGCGTCCTGGCTCTGTGTAATGTGTGTGGATGTGGCGCGTGCTGGCTCTGTGTAATGTGTGTGGATGTGGAGTGTGCTGGCTCTGTGTAATGTGTGCGCGCATGTGGCGCGTGCTGGCTCTGTGTAATGTGTGTGAATGTGGCGCGTGCTGGCTCTGTGTAGTGTGTGAATGTGGCGCGTGCTGGCTCTGTGTAATGTGTGTGGATGTGGAGTGTGCTGGCTCTGTGTAATGTGTGCGCGCATATGGCGCGTGCTGGCTCTGTGTAATGTGTTTGGATGTGGCGTGTGCTGGCTCTGTGTAATGTGTGTGGATGTGGCGCGTGCTGGCTCTGTGTAATGTGTGTGGATGTGGCGCGTGCTGGCTCTGTGTAATGTGTTTGGATGTGGCGTGTGCTGGCTCTGTGTAATGTGTGTGGATGTGGCGCGTGCTGGCTCTGTGTAATGTGTGTAGTTGTGGAGTGTGCTGGCTCTGCGTAATGTGTGTGCGCATGTGGCGCATGCTGGCTCTGTGTAATGTGTGTGGATGTGGCTCGTGCTGGCTCTGTGTAATGCTTAGCTTCCTGAATAGAAAAACAGGGCATGCACGCACACATTTGACATACAGAATACAGCCAACAAACATTACCAACAACCTGTACACAAACCATCCACACACAGTTCAACCAGTCAGAATACAAACACATTTTGCAGATAAGCGTATCGTTTGTATATAGTTTGTAAAGAGAACCCAATTGTGCAAATATTTATTATTATTATTATTATTATGCATTAGGGTATTGGAATGTTTCATTAACTGGGGTCTTCACCAAAACTGGCCACCAGTTCAAACTTTTAAAAGGTCTAGATGTAAACAGCTTGTCACACTTGTCTCTGAAATACCTTTTTGTCTCGTTGGTCCAACACAGAGAGCCAGCACCCAAACTATCCACACACAGTATCAACAGCCAACACACACCATGAGGGAGGACAGCAGAGAGAGACTATGTGAGGACATGGGTGGGGGGTGGGGGCGACAAGTAGAATGTTTAAATCTACAGCCTTGTCCAATGAAACATAACAGGCTCTGCACGTTGGATTGTATTTATAAAAACTGCATTGATTTATACAATTTGCTGGAGCTGTAAGATTGCTTTTAATGGGGAATTGTGATCTCCATTTCCACACGGTGTATGCAGGCTCCATCCGCACCTTCAATCTGTGAAATCCTCGGTCAGTAAACTGATTGCAGTCATAGCTATCAGCCTAATCAGCGGTTCCATTTAGAGGTTTCCGATATAATCAGACCCAGAATACGAGTCTCCTAATTGGTGGATAGTTTTCCTGATATGGGATGGGGCTGTTTCCTGCTGTAGTGTAGCAGTTTAAGGTGGGGATCTTATTGTTTAGCAGCTCTTAGCATGGACCCAACATTTTGTGACTGCTTTCACGTGGGAGACTCATTCTACAATTCGAGAATTAGCTTGTTGACATGTTCTTTAGTTGCAGAATATTAGGCACTAAAATCAGAAAAACACTTGAACTCTCCCCAGTGTCAAGAAGGTCTCCACTGGCCTGGGGAAGCGATAACTGCTTCTGTAACATTCTGGAGTTAAGATCCAGGGAATAGATACAGGGCTAGAGATCAAACCAACACTAGTTTCTGGGTTTACTAACCTCACAGGTGAAGCCATTAACCATCAAACCATTTTGCTTTATGACTTGCCATGTAAAACACAAGGCTGCCAACCTACACTCATGTTCCAAGTGCTCAAACACTGGGAATATGTCCTTAAAAGTGGTGAAAGATCTAAAAGGGAGGAGTCATCCATAAAAAGTGCCTGTTGGTTTCCATAGTGACTGTACACTTTGATAAATCTCCTCCGACAGGGCCACATATAGGGAGATATTCTGCTTCAAAAGGCTAAACTTGGTACAGTCACCATGGAAACCAGGCACATTCAATGTGTGACTCCTCCCCTTTTACATTTTTGCACCACTTTTTGGCACAGAACAATTTGATAACTCTCCATTCTGCCCTGCAAGGAATATAGACTGTTTCTCTAACTCCGTTGTCTGGCACAACAGACACAAATATTTCTCCTGGCAAAGCGCACACCAACGCAAGCTACGCTTATCAGACACAAAGTGCTCTGTTAGATTCCACGTCTATCGCCAGCAAGCCCTGTGAATGCAATGTAGACTACGCTAACGCAAGCTGTGTGCAGGGGTGATTTTAATTGAGATCACATGCATGGCTCATCCTCCTGGCAAGCAGAGTGTCAGAGGGGAAACTCTACTCAATGCAATAGGGTTAGAACTTGGTGTCTGCAGCCACTGATCTTTCTAATGTGTACAAATGCAACCCTGTTGAATAAACTGTATCAAAATATTATAGAAATTGTTTTTGCTCCCCAATACTAGAAAGTAGCAAGAAGCAAATCTGGGCAAATCCAGCGATATATTGTAAAAACAATAGGGGCCATAGACCCTGCAAATTTTCATTAAAATAAGCATTTTTTTGGTTACATTTATCTTTGAGCTCAGGGTGGGAATTAGTACACAGGCAAAGTTAAACTGCTCAATCCCAAACTACCATGTCAATCCAGAATCCTAGAACAGAACTTGAAGATGCATGGAAAAGCCTTCCAGCAGAGGTGGTAGGGGTCACATTCCTGGATAGATATATTAATGTGCAGGAAAAACATCAAGGATAAAGAGTGTGATTTTAGAAAGGACTAGAAGGGCCAACTGCCTTTTATCTGACAGTAAAATCTGTGCTTCTAAATTAAATTGCTGAAACTGCCAGAAAATGTCCATGTTCATTTATTTTTTACACTGTAGCTGGCATGCACTGGAACCGACATTAAATCCTATAAAGGTATAGATTAAAAACATCTGGAGAAGAACCGTACAGTTAACATGCAGCAGGTAACCCCCCCAAACATATTCCAATGTTACTCACCTGCTCCAGGAGCACAGCATGAGATCCAGAACAAAAAGAGAAGGGTTTAATGGACTGACCTGGAACGGCTATGTTTAAATAATCTCCCAACGCATGCAGATGTTCAAAACCTCAGAGTCCCACAGGAGGGGGCTGGTTCAGTCCCTGGCAGCAGAGAGCATGGCACAGCTGTGGGGAGGGGGGGAGGCAGTTCCCCATGTGTCAGAATACACAGTCTGGATGGTAATTAGCTATAATCGTGACGGGAACTTCAAGATCCCAGCTTGTTCTCTAGATGACTTCCACCCATGAGAGGAAACTGGCTAGGACAGGTGCAGACTCAGCACCACTGTGCCAAGTGCAAGGGAATGGGGGCAGGGCACTGAGATGCCAATTTATTGGTAGAAATAGAATGACCAGTCCTGTGGCAAACAACTTGTTAAACAGCCTGTAGGAGGAGAACATGTTCAGTTTACAGCAAGTGGCTCCACATTTCCCTTTGTAACAGGAAAATGCAAGCAAGCACAGTATAAAACACAGTAGACCACTCACTACAACCACAACCAGTTCCCCATCAGCTACAACCAGATCTCTATGAGCTAGAACAATAACTTCTAGCAACAATAGCCATATACCAGCTACAAAGTACCTCTCAGTTCACCTGATTAGCATATTGACAAAAAACATCCATTCCGTCAAATACTCTATTACTTCCAATTATCCAACGTCTGGAATCCGCTGCTAAAACAGAGCATTACAAAATGTTTATCTTGGTTAAGTGATACTACTTTAAGGATGTTACAGAAAACGGATTTCCATGAATCTGTAGTTCAATATTGCAACTTCCAAGAGAAGTAATATTTCCCTTTACCCAGCATGCCAGAGAGGTTTCCTTAAACCCAGCATCCCAAAGAGGTAACGGTTCCCTTTACCCAGCTTCCCCGAGAGGTAACGGTTCCCTTTACCCAGCATCCCCGAGAGCTAACGGTTCCCTTTACCCAGCTTCCCCGAGAGCTAACGGTTCCCTTTACCCAGCTTCCCCGAGAGCTAACGGTTCCCTTTACCCAGCTTCCCCGAGAGCTAACGGTTCCCTTTACCCAGCTTCCCCGAGAGGTAACGGTTCCCTTTACCCAGCTTCCCCGAGAGGTAACGGTTCCCTTTACCCAGCTTCCCCGAGAGGTAACGGTTCCCTTTACCCAGCTTCCCCGAGAGGTAACGGTTCCCTTTACCCAGCTTCCCCGAGAGGTAACGGTTCCCTTTACCCAGCGTCCCAGAGAGGTAACGGTTCCCTTTACCCAGCGTCCCAGAGAGGTAACGTTTCCCTTTACCCAGCATCCCAGAGAGGTAACGTTTCCCTTTACCCAGCATCCCAGAGAGGTAACGTTTCCATTTACCCAGCATCCCAGAGAGGTAACGTTTCCATTTACCCAGCATCCCAGAGAGGTAACGTTTCCATTTACCCAGCATCCCAGAGAGGTAACGTTTCCATTTACCCAGCATCCCAGAGAGGTAACGTTTCCATTTACCCAGCATCCCAGAGAGGTAACGTTTCCCTCTAACCAGTGTCCCAGAGAGGTAACGTTTCCCTCTAACCAGTGTCCCAGAGAGGTAACGTTTCCATTTACCCAGCATCCCAGAGAGGTAACGTTTCCATTTACCCAGCATCCCAGAGAGGTAACGTTTCCATTTACCCAGCATCCCAGAGAGGTAACGTTTCCCTCTAACCAGTGTCCCAGAGAGGTAACGTTTCCCTTTACCCAGCGTCCCAGAGAGGTAACGTTTCCATTTACCCAGCATCCCAGAGAAGTAACGTTTCCCTTTACCCAGTATCCCAGAGAGGTAACGTTTCCCTTTACCCAGCGTCCCAGAGAGGTAACGTTTCCCTTTACCCAGTATCCCAGAGAGGTAACGCTTCCATTTACCCAGCATCCCAGAGAGGTAACGCTTCCCAACCAGTGTCCCAGAGAGGTAACGCTTCTCACTCCAGCTTCCAGAGGTAACGTTTCCCTTTACCCAGCGTCCCAGAGAGGTAACGTTTCCCTTTACCCAGTATCCCAGAGAGGTAACGTTTCCCTTTACCCAGCGTCCCAGAGAGGTAATGTTTCCCTTTACCCAGCTTCCCCGAGAGGTAACGGTTCCCTTTACCCAGCTTCCCCGAGAGGTAACGGTTCCCTTTATCCAGCATCCCCGAGAGGTAACGGTTCCCTTTACCCAGCTTCCCCGAGAGGTAACGGTTCCCTTTACCCAGCTTCCCCGAGAGGTAACGGTTCCCTTTACCCAGCTTCCCCGAGAGGTAACGGTTCCCTTTACCCAGCGTCCCAGAGAGGTAACGGTTCCCTTTACCCAGCGTCCCAGAGAGGTAACGTTTCCCTTTACCCAGCATCCCAGAGAGGTAACGTTTCCCTTTACCCAGCATCCCAGAGAGGTAACGTTTCCATTTACCCAGCATCCCAGAGAGGTAACGTTTCCATTTACCCAGCATCCCAGAGAGGTAACGTTTCCATTTACCCAGCATCCCAGAGAGGTAACGTTTCCCTCTAACCAGTGTCCCAGAGAGGTAACGTTTCCCTCTAACCAGTGTCCCAGAGAGGTAACGTTTCCATTTACCCAGCATCCCAGAGAGGTAACGTTTCCATTTACCCAGCATCCCAGAGAGGTAACGTTTCCATTTACCCAGCATCCCAGAGAGGTAACGTTTCCATTTACCCAGCATCCCAGAGAGGTAACGTTTCCATTTACCCAGCATCCCAGAGAGGTAACGTTTCCCTCTAACCAGTGTCCCAGAGAGGTAACGTTTCCCTTTACCCAGCGTCCCAGAGAGGTAACGTTTCCATTTACCCAGCATCCCAGAGAAGTAACGTTTCCCTTTACCCAGTATCCCAGAGAGGTAACGTTTCCCTTTACCCAGCGTCCCAGAGAGGTAACGTTTCCCTTTACCCAGTATCCCAGAGAGGTAACGTTTCCCTTTACCCAGCGTCCCAGAGAGGTAATGTTTCCCTTTACCCAGTATCCCAGAGAGGTAACGTTTCCCTTTACCCAGCGTCCCAGAGAGGTAATGTTTCCCTTTACCCAGTATCCCAGAGAGGTAACGTTTCCCTTTACCCAGTATCCCAGAGAGGTAACGTTTCCCTTTACCTTCCCGAGCTAACGTTCCCTTTACTGGCGTCCAGAGAATAGCGTTCCTTTACCCAGAAAAGTGATCCACAGAGGTAATGTTTCCCTTTGCAAGCGTCCCAGAGGCTAACGTTTCCCTTTACCCAGCGTCCCAGAGAGGTAACGTTTCCCTTTACCCAGCGTCCCAGAGAGGTAACGTTTCCCTTTACCCAGCTTCCCCGAGAGCTAACGTTTCCCTTTACCCAGCGTCCCAGAGAGGTAACGTTTCCCTTTACCCAGCGTCCCAGAGAGGTAATGTTTCCCTTTACCCAGCGTCCCAGAGAGCTAACGTTTCCCTTTACCCAGCGTCCCAGAGAGGTAACGTTTCCATTTACCCAGCGTCCCAGAGAGGTAACGTTTCCCTTTACCCAGCTTCCCCGAGAGCTAACGTTTCCCTTTACCCAGCGTCCCAGAGAGGTAACGTTTCCCTTTACCCAGCGTCCCAGAGAGGTAATGTTTCCCTTTACCCAGCGTCCCAGAGAGCTAACGTTTCCCTTTACCCAGTGTCCCAGAGAGGTAACGTTTCCCTTTACCCAGCGTCCCAGAGAGGTAACGTTTCCCTTTACCCAGCGTCCCAGAGAGGTAATGTTTCCCTTTACCCAGTGTCCCAGAGAGGTAACGTTTCCCTTTACCCAGCGTCCCAGAGAGGTAACGTTTCCCTTTACCCAGTGTCCCAGAGAGGTAATGTTTCCCTTTACCCAGCGTCCCAGAGAGGTAACGTTTCCCTTTACCCAGCGTCCCAGAGAGGTAACGTTTCCCTTTACCCAGTGTCCCAGAGAGGTAACGTTTCCCTTTACCCAGCATTCCAGAAAAGTATCGCATTACTCAGCATCCCTGAGTAATTCCATTATGAAGAGGTTAGTTAAATAGCATATTGAGGTTTACAAACACTGATGATTATGGTGGGAAATGTGAAGGTTTGATTCAGATACTGTTATATACCAGAAAAGAATACTGAGCAACAAAATTCCCCTAACATGAACTGGTCCATTTGATATTATAACAGCTTCTAGCACAGCACAATAACTACATTCAATGCACAATGTAAACAGGAGAGAGACTTAGCTACGCACACTGAGAATTATGCAGTCTTAGAGGACGTGGTTAAAGCGAACCTATTGAGGGGAAAAAAGACTCTTTGTTGTGTACACTACTAAAATGTATCTGTATATTATGAGAAATTAATTTGTTGGATCTATTTTGAATTAACTTTACTTTATTTGCTGTTTGTGCAAATTGTACATATTTTGTTACCGCTCTGCCACTTCCTCGTGAAAGTACTGCACTAACATTCAGGTGAGAATTCTGACAGTCTGGGGACAAACTGGGTTTTACTCCATGACATGGGAATTGCTGAGAACGGACTAGGAGGTTAATTCACCAAGTGCCCAATAACATTTAGCTGGACCTAATCATCTACATTCAGGATTCTTTTATCAGAACCAAAAATTATTTTAAGCCAGTCGATAAAAACTGCTATACAGAGAGAACTAGCTGCCACCACAAACCCAGGTTAATCAATGCCCCAAAGGGGCAGTTTCTGAGGATTAGAAGGAACTGCACAGAGGAAAGTGAATTCATTGAGCAAGCAACCCATTTAGGACAACAATTTATGGAGAGGGGTTACGAAGAAGAGAACCTCAGAAAAGATTTAGAGGAAGTAAAAATAACTCCTAACATATAAACAAAAAAAACAAAATACAAAGAAATAACCACATTCCTTTTATCTGTGGTTATTACAAACACTGGCATATTCTAAAAGATGATCCTGTGCTTTTATGGCTTGTACTGGATATACCCAGTAGTTTTTTTTATTATTTTAATTTAAGTGCATTTTAATAATCCCTCATTTCTTCTGATAGACATATGAGAGACTCTGGGGAGCGACATGAAACAAAATTGTATGGACAATAACGTTTCTTTTAGGAGTGGAACGCAAATGCATTCCAAATATGAACTAAACCGGAAATACATCATCAAGGTGAAGCCGCGGATAGCGATGTCATATGGAAGAGACTGAAACGACCCAGAGCAGACCCAGGTGACTCCAATGGACAAACAGGAAGGAGCTACATAAGACTACCGACTACCGGGGAATAACATCAGCAACTAAGGAAGCCTACAATATAGGCAAAACGCGTCTTGCAAGAACTCTCCAAACATTGGACTTTTTATATACATTTTGTTTATTTTATTTTGATCTTGTTTGTCAATAAATATATTTTTTTTACCGCCATTTCATGTTCAGTGAAGTTACTGGGTGGATTATATCAACGGAGATCTTACCAGCATCATATAAGGGAGTGGGATCCCTTCGAACACTCCCATCTGCCTGCACATTGAGCCTATCATAGTGGCACTACACTTGTAAGTACGAGCCTTAAGGATTACCTTATATGTGTATACACTTGTATTAGACTGTGTGGCAATAGGATTTGGCATTGTTTTTTTTTGTTTTTTTTATCTGCTACAGTTGTCATTAACACAATCTACCCAAGAGCCAACTGCACTCCACCTACTTTCCATGTATGTGTAATTAACAGTTTCTGGCTTAATGAATAAACCCCAAGGCTTCTTTAAGGAAGTGGTTATTTAACTTTTTTTTTTATAGGAAGCTGAGTTACGTGCATGTCATTAACATGCCAAACCATTCTTTTAAGGAACACTATAGGATCAGGAACACAAACATGCATCCCTGACCCTATAGTGTTAAAAACACCATCTGGCTTCCCAAAATATAGTAAAATCTTACTTTTGTTCAAGTTATTCTCTGAGCAAAACACAATGTTTTCCCATAGGATTGTCTGGGACTGTCAAGGAGGCAGAACACAACCTTGGCCAATCAGCATCTCCTCATAGAGATGTATTGAATCAATGCATCTCTATGAGGAAAGTTCAGTGTCTCCATGCAGAGGGCGGAGGCACTAGATGTCAGACACAGTGTGCAGCACTGCCCCAGGAAGCAATTGAAGTAGCTATCTAAAAAGAGTTGCCAGTGGATGTGTTTCTAGGCTGTAATATAATCTGAGTGGCCAGATGAGGTATACCTACGCTGTAATGTAAAGACTACATTTTCTCTGAAAAGACCGTGTTTACAGCAAAATGGCTGAAGGAAATGATTCTACTCACCAGAACAAATGCAATAAGCTGTACTTGTTCTGGTGACTATAGTGTCCCTTTAATTATAAGATTAGCTTGGTGACTCATTCTTTACTGGTAATATATTATAAGTAAAATACATTTTTCCAAATATCCTTAGTGTCTAGTGTCAGAGGGTTTTTCATATGAATTGGGGAAAGAAGTGAGAAAACAGAACTTTATTTATTGTGACCAATTGTCTGAGGCATGAAGATTACAATATATTTGTTGCAACCAAAGAGTTAACAACCCCTATTTTAAGGGACCATATAACAGAAAAATATATTCAACATCCAGTTCCCAGCACAGTGGAAGGAAGCCCTGGGCACTCGTGGACATCACTTGTTATCATCTCTGAAAGCAAATAATTCTAGGATAAATATTACAGAATGGCTTGTGAAACACAGGAACATGCGCTGGACCTCCATGCAGCAAGATCCTTGCCCAGCTGAAACTGGATGTGAGATAATTTTATCTACAAATACACACCATTGGCTAGCATAATGCATAGATATAAAATGATTTGTAGATTCAAACAGGAGAATGCTATTTTACGAAAGACAGTTTTAGCACTATATTTATTTACAATGTATCCAGACCAATGCATGTTGAGGAGGATTGGGGAGGAAACAAATTATGTCCACATTTATCTATATCTACATTGACACAAACTGTCACATTACACTAGGTAACCTTTCAATGTATCCCACTCTTTAAGAATTGTGTACGTATTCAGTAAACAATGAGTTGTGATGAGTTGACAACCAGATAGATATAGACCCTCCAGAGACACGCTCAATGACTGACAGACCCTCCAGAGACACGCTCAGTGACTGACAGACCCTCCAGAGACACGCTCAGTGACTGACAGACCCTCCAGAGACACGCTCAGTGACTGACAGTCCCTCCAGAGACACGCTCAGTGACTGACAGACCCTCCAGAGACACGCTCAGTGACTGACAGACCCTCCAGAGACACGCTCAGTGACTGACAGACCCTCCAGAGACTGACTGACAGACCCTCCAGAGACACGCTCAGTGACTGACAGACCCTCCAGAGACACGCTCAGTGACTGACAGACCCTCCAGAGACACGCTCAGTGACTGACAGTCCCTCCAGAGACACGCGCAGTGACTGACAGTCCCTCCAGAGACACGCTCAGTGACTGACAGTCCCTCCAGAGACACGCTCAGTGACTGACAGTCCCTCCAGAGACACGCGCAGTGACTGACAGTCCCTCCAGAGACACGCGCAGTGACTGACAGTCCCTCCAGAGACACGCGCAGTGACTGACAGTCCCTCCAGAGACACGCGCAGTGACTGACAGTCCCTCCAGAGACACGCGCAGTGACTGACAGTCCCTCCAGAGACACGTGACTGACAGTCCCTCCAGAGACACGCGCAGTCCCTCCAGAGACACGCTCAGTGACTGACAGTCCCTCCAGAGACACGCGCAGTGACTGACAGTCCCTCCAGAGACACGCTCAGTGACTGACAGTCCCTCCAGAGACACGCGCAGTGACTGACAGTCCCTCCAGAGACACGCTCAGTGACTGACAGTCCCTCCAGAGACACGCGCAGTGACTGACAGTCCCTCCAGAGACACGCTCAGTGACTGACAGTCCCTCCAGAGACACGCTCAGTGACTGACAGTCCCTCCAGAGACACGCTCAGTGACTGACAGTCCCTCCAGAGACACGCTCAGTGACTGACAGTCCCTCCAGAGACACGCTCAGTGACTGACAGTCCCTCCAGAGACACGCTCAGTGACTGACAGTCCCTCCAGAGACACGTTCAGTGACTGACAGTCCCTCCAGAGACACGCTCAGTGACTGACAGTCCCTCCAGAGACACGCTCCAGAGGCACGCTCAGTGACTGACAGACCCTCCAGAGACACGCTCAGTGACTGACAGACCCTCCAGAGACACGCTCAGTGACTGACAGACCCTCCAGAGACACGCTCAGTGACTGACAGACCCTCCAGAGACACGCTCAGTGACTGACAGACCCTCCAGAGACACGCTCAGTGACTGACAGACCCTCCAGAGACACGCTCAGTGACTGACAGACCCTCCAGAGACACGCTCAGTGACTGACAGACCCTCCAGACCAGTGGATCATCAGACCCTCCAGAGACACCAGTGACTGACAGCCCCTCCAGAGACACGCTCAGTGACTGACAGCCCCTCCAGAGACACGCTCAGTGACTGACAGCCCCTCCAGAGACACGCTCAGTGACTGACAGACCCTCCAGAGACACGCTCAGTGACTGACAGACCCTCCAGAGACACGCTCAGTGACTGACAGACCCTCCAGAGACACGCTCAGTGACTGACAGACCCTCCAGAGACACGCTCAGTGACTGACAGACCCTCCAGAGACACGCGCAGTGACTGACAGACCCTCCAGAGACACGCTCAGTGACTGACAGACCCTCCAGAGACACGCGCAGTGACTGACAGACCCTCCAGAGACACGCGCAGTGACTGACAGTCCCTCCAGAGACACGCGCAGTGACTGACAGTCCCTCCAGAGACACGCGCAGTGGACCATTGACAGACCTCCAGAGACAGCCAGTAATTCTATGGACCCTCCGAGACACGCTCAGTGACTGACAGACCCTCCAGAGACACGCTCAGTGACTGACAGACCCTCCAGAGACACGCTCAGTGACTGACAGACCCTCCAGAGACACGCTCAATGACTGACAGACCCTCCAGAGACACGCTCAATGACTGACAGACCCTCCAGAGACAAACAGCGATTGACAGACCTTCTTGAGTTTAATTTAATGACTGACAGGCACTCTACAGACAGAATGACAGACTCTACATAGTGTGATAAGGTGAATGGTGTGGTTTGTGAGGGAGTTTATAGTTCCACTACATTGTTCAGAGAGGCATATGACATTTACCCCAGGGGGAGTATGTGTTGTGTGTGTATACCGCTTAAATTAATGTTTAGATGTGGGCCCCTGGGGTGGAGCATTCAGAGAGTAGGGCAGGCCAGAGCTCCACTCCTCCGTTTTTACACAACTGAGAGAAATAAGGTCCAGGCCAGAGCTTTGGACGGTCTCCAACCCACTGCTCAGCTGAAAGTAATCAGCTGCAGCAGTGGGAATAAACCTCTCCCTGCTAGGTAGGTAAATGGAGATTTTTGTTTCTCCCTTGGAGGGCTGGAAGCAGCAGGCTGACTGAGCACTGGAAGTGCAGAGCGTTGACAAGACACTAGGTTGGTGAAACCTGAATTGTTTTTGTTATAGTGTAACCCTTGAGAGATAGGGAATTTGATGTTAGTAAGCGCTCAGACGAGCTAGGATTTTGTTTACAGGGATTTCTGTTACATTATTGTTTCTTTCATTTGCTGCTGTCTCCATGGTGAATTTCAACAGTGCCTGGATTTATGTTTCTTCAAAAGACTGTGCATGTTTGTATCCTAGAGGGCCGTACTAATTTCTATAAAGGATCGCAATAGACAGACCCTGTGTGACACACAGACAGAACCTGTGTGACACACAGACCCCCTACAGACAGACTCTGTGTGACACACAGACCCCCTACAGACAGACTCTGTGTGACACACAGACCCTCTACAGACAGACTGTGTGACACACAGACCCCCTACAGACCGACCCTGTGTGACACACAGACCCCCTACAGACAGACCCTGTGTGACACACAGACCCCCTACAGACAGACCCTGTGTGACACACAGACACACATACCCCCTACAGACAGACCCTGTGTGACACACAGACCCCCTACAGACAGGCCCTGTGTGACACACAGACCCCCTACAGACAGGCCCTGTGTGACACACAGACCCCCTACAGACAGGCCCTGTGTGACACACAGACCCCCTACAGACAGACTGTGTGACACACAGACCCCCTACAGACAGGCTGTGTGACACACAGACCCCCTACAGACAGGCTGTGTGACACACAGACCCCCTACAGACAGGCCCTGTGTGACACACAGACCCCCTACAGACAGACTGTGTGACACACAGACCCCCTACAGACAGGCTGTGTGACACACAGACCCCCTACAGACAGACTGTGTGACACACAGACCCCCCACAGACAGACTGTGTGACACACAGACCCCCTACAGACAGACCCTGTGTGACACACAGACCCCCTACAGACAGACTGTGTGATACACAGACCCCCTACAGACAGGCTGTGTGACACACAGACCCCCTACAGACAGACTGTGTGACACACAGACCCCCTACAGACAGACCCTGTGTGACACACAGACCCCCCACAGACAGACTGTGTGACACACAGACCCCCTACAGACAGACTGTGTGACACACAGACAAACTCTCTATAGACAGACTCTGTGTGTGTGTGACAGACAGACAGACAGACAGACAGACAGGGGCCCCGGTCTTACCTGCTCACGGTGCGGCCCCCGGGGTTCTCTGAGCCTCTCCCAGCCAGGTGGGCCCCGTGTGTCCCGGAGCTCAGGCCGGTCCCTCCCTATTCACGAAGCCGCCATCTTCCACCACTATCAGCGGCAGACAGGAGAGGAAGGAACAGAGCGCAGCGAGGACGCGCACGCAGGAGTGTCTACACGTACGCAACAAGCGTATCCTGGAATATGCGCCATCTTGTGAAGGTCATTTCCTATCCTATATTGGGTGTAACCGTGGTCAGACGCCATATTGTGGAGGTCAATTATGGAGACTGAAACACGCCATATTGTGGAGGTCATGTTGCTATGAATTTAGGAATGTTTTTTATTTTACTTTTTAAATACATTATATAGAGAGATAGCATGAATAGATAAAAATAAAACTAGTCATTTCTTACAGCCACTCGCCCCTGGTTACAGCCACTAGGCTCAGCTACAAGCCCCTGGTTACAGCCGCTAGGCTCAGACACTCGCCCCTGGTTACAGCCGCTAGGCTCAGCCGCCCTAGTTTGGCAAGCCCAGGTTCGGCTACAAGCCCAGTTTTGGCGTAGGCTCGGCCAGTAAGCCCTGGTTGCAGCCACTAGGCTCGGCTACAGGCCCTGGTTGGCAGCTAGGCTCAGCCAGTAAGCCCCTGGTTGGCAGCTGGGCTCAGACGCTTCGCCCCAGTTTGCAGCGGCCCCAGGCTCGGCCACTTCGCCCCTGGTTACAGCCGCTGGGCTCAGCCACTAAGCCCCAGTTTTGGCAGCTGGGGAAACCAGCCACTTCGCCCCTGGTTACAGCAGCAGCTAGGCTCGGCCACTCGCCCTGGTTACAGCAGCTAGGCTCAGCCACTAAGCCCTGGTTACAGTCGCTAGGCTCAGGCACTCGCCCATGGTTACAGCAGCTAGGCTCAGCCACTAAGCCACTGGTGCAGCCCAGGCTCAGACACTGCGCCCCCTGGTTACAGCAGCTAGGCTCAGCCAGCCGCTAGGCTCAGCCACTCGCCCCTGGTTACAGCCGCTAGGCTCAGCCACTCGCCCCTGGTTACAGTCGCTAGGCTCAGACACTCGCCCATGGTTACAGCCGCTAGGCTCAGCCACTCGCCACTGGTTACAGCCGCTAGGCTCAGACACTCGCCCCTGGTTACAGCCGCTAGGCTCAGCCACTCGCCCCTGGTTACAGCCGCTAGGCTCAGCCACTCGCCCCTGGTTACAGCCGCTAGGCTCAGCCACTCGCCCCTGGTTACAGCCGCTAGGCTCAGCCACTCGCCCCTGGTTACAGCCGCTAGGCTCAGCCACTCGCCCATGGTTACAGTCGCTAGGCTCAGCCACTCGCCCCTGGTTACAGCCGCTAGGCTCAGCCACTCGCCCCTGGTTACAGCCGCTAGGCTCAGCCACTCGCCCCTGGTTATAGCCACTAGGCTCAGCCACTTGCTCCTGGTTACAGCCACTAGTCTCAGCCACTCGCCCCTGGTTACAGCCACTAAGTTCAGCAACTCACCCCTGGTTAGAGTCATTAGGCTCAGGTTCAACCTCTCTCAGCCCAGAATACCTCTACTCGTCCCTGGTTACAGTCACTAGGCTCAGCCACTCGCCCCTGGATACAGTCACTCGCACCTGGTTACAGCCACTAGGCTCAGTTTCAGCCTCTCTCAGCACAGAATACCACCGCTTGACCCTGGATACAGCCACTAGGCTCAGCCACTTGCCCCTGGTTACAGTTATTAGGCTCAGGTTCAGCCTCTCTCAGCCCAGAATACCTCTACTCGTCCGTGGATACAGTCACTAGGCTTAGCCACTCATCCCTGGTTACAGCCAGTAGGCTTAATTTGAGGCTCTCTCAGCCCAGAATACCGTTGGTCGTCTCTGGATGCAGCCACTAGGCTCAAGTTCAGCCTCTCTCAGCTAAGAAGACAGTCACTCACATTGCAGAATACAGCCGCTTAGCCGTGGTTATAGCTACTTGGCTCAGACATAGTTGCTCTTAGCTCAAAATACAGCAGCTCCATCCAGCCCAGAATATAACCCTGGTAACAGCCTCTTTCACCTGAGAGTATAGTCACAGTCCAGAGGATTGTGACCTAAAGTTTGGCAGGTCTGCTATTGGGAGACGGAGTGCAGTCTGGTGGTTGTATCTGAGGTTGGGCTGACATCTGTAAAGGAGCTTATCAGAGTTTGCCATGTGCTGAGCACTCGAAGTATATGTCCCAAAACACCCTGAAAACCATCAAAAGTGCAGAGTGAGCGAAGCTACATATTATCTATATTCTCTGTGCTGTACAATAGGTGGACTAACAAACAAATAGCTGCAACAAGACAACTTAGACATACCGGAACAGAAGATGCCAAGGTACCTGCTCAAGCAGACTTGCACTCTAAGGGGGGTGGGATAAAATGGCAGATGAGGTATTGATATGCTTGTGTTACACTATCAGTCATGCCGCCTGACACCAAACTTCACAGATCTGTATATACAGGAACGGATATACCCACCCTAAACAAAATATAGACATAATTGTGAAAGTTTAACAAAATTTCAAGCTTGACTTTTAGCCTAAATCTTGGGTTGGTAATAGCCACCATATTGCACAGTTCAGTGAAAAGATCTTATCATCCGTCTGAATTATATATATATATATTTTGCAAAGATACATTAAACGCCTTGCTTTCCCATGAATGAATACATTAAATGTGCCAATAGGTGGAGTAACAAACATTTACAAGTCATGTAGGACGTACAGGATCAAAAAGTGACGATGGCCCAGCTCAGACTAGCTAACATTCTGAGCGGAGTTGGGTATTATTAGTAATAAACGTAATAGTAAAAGGCATCTCATAGTGGATTGCTAGTTAAGGCTCCAATAAAATGAGATCCTAAATGTTAGATGGCGCAGTTGGATGAGATGATGTGAAGCGGGGAAGACGATAGATAGAATGTTAATAGTTTGATTTATAGGCTTTCTTGACGAATTGAGTTTTCAGTGATTTTTTTTTGTAAGAATGTTGACTGGGGGAATCTAAACCCAGCACAGAGTGGGTGCTACAGTAACAGTGAGAGTCTGAGGTTGGGACATTGTTTTATTAGTGAGGGTATACAGACAGTGTTAACTTGTAAGGACCAAGGTTATGAGCAGTAAAGTACAATTCCTTTAATGACCCAGTCAGTGTGTTACACCATGGGCCCAGCATGACAGAGCAGCCATTCACTCTCTCTCCAGATCATTTGGAGTAGTAACATGGCTGTCAAGCACTTCCGCTCCTGGGGTGTGCTATCATGGCCGACTTCCGGCAGCGCCGCGCTGACACTGGACGTGCTGGTCCGCGTGCGTGCTTGCGTGCGCGCTCCCGTTCGGAGCATGCGCAGTGTAGCCCGGCGCTCGGCCTGGTTTCCGGTGGCGGCTGAGTGGAAAATGGAAGAAGATGAGGTCGCGGAGAACTGGGAGGAGGCTGCGGACAGCGGGGTGAGTGCGGGGGGCGGGGACCCCGACCTTTACCCTCTGCGTTATATGGCGCCAGCGTAAGCCGCATCGCAGCACAATGTGGAGGCCACAGCACACGGTACGGCCAGGGCTTCACCATGGAGGGTCTGTCCCAGGATCAGGGCTCCCCCATGGAGGGTCTGTCCCGGGATCAGGGCTCCCCCATGGAGGGTCTGTCACAGGATCAGGGCTCCCCCCATGGAGGGTCTGTCCCAGGATCAGGGCTCCCCCATGGAGGGTCTGTCCCAGGATCAGGGCTCCCCCATGGAGGGTCTGTCCCAGGATCAGGGCTCCCCCATGGAGGGTCTGTCACAGGATCAGGGCTCCCCCATGGAGGGTCTGTCACGGGATCAGGGCTCCCCCCATGGAGGGTCTGTCACGGGATCAGGGCTCCCCCATGGAGGGTCTGTCCCAGGATCAGGGCTCCCCCATGGAGGGTCTGTCCCAGGATCAGGGCTCCCCCATGGAGGGTCTGTCCCAGGATCAGGGCTCCCCCATGGAGGGTCTGTCACAGGATCAGGGCTCCCCCATGGAGGGTCTGTCACGGGATCAGGGCTCCCCCCATGGAGGGTCTGTCACGGGATCAGGGCTCCCCCATGGAGGGTCTGTCCCAGGATCAGGGCTCCCCCCATGGAGGGTCTGTCCCAGGATCAGGGCTCCCATGGAGGTCTGTCCCAGGATCAAGGGCTACATAGGAAGGTCTGTGTCCAGGATGGGGCTTTCCCATGAGGTCTGTTGTCCCAGGATCAGGGCACCATGGAGGGTCTGTCACGGGATCAGGGCTCCCCCATGGAGGGTCTGTCCCAGGATCAGGGCTCCCCCCATGGAGGGTCTGTCCCAGGATCAGGGCTCCCCCATGGAGGGTCTGTCCCCATGGAGGGTCTGTCCCAGGATCAGGGCTTCCCCCATGGAGGGTCTGTCCCAGGATCAGGGCTTCCCCCATGGAGGGTCTGTCCCAGGATCAGGGCTCCCCCATGGAGGGTCTGTCCCAGGATCAGGGCTCCCCCATGGAGGGTCTGTCACGGGATCAGGGCTGCCCCGTGGAGGCTCTGTCACTGGATCAGGGCTGCACCGTGGAGGGTCTCTGTCACAGGATCAGGGCTGCCCCGTGGAGGCTCTGTCACTGGATCAGGGCTCCCCCGTGGAGGCTCTGTCACGGGATCAGGGCTCCACCGTGAAGGGTCTGTCACACATGGAGGGTCTGTCACGGGATCAGGGCTCCACCATGGAGGGCTCTGGTGCAGGTTCAGGGCTCCACCGTGGAGGGCTCGGTCGCAGGCCCACACGTGTCCCGGCGTGGGAGACAGCAGGGGATCATAAGGGGAAGTCCCTGGGAATGGGAGAAGAGGAGGTATCCCTGTGAATGGGACGGGGGATCCCTTAAAAGCAGGTTGTGTAAATTGGGTCAGCAGTGGAAATCTTGGGGGATGTAGGTTTAAATGTGGGATCTATCTGAAAGTCAGGGGAAATGGGGGATGAAGGCAGTAGGATGGGTGCATTATGGAAATGTTGTGGGTATCTAAAAAGCAGGTGCGGGGGATGCAGTAAAAATGTAGAGTGTATCTGAGAGACTGGGAATAGGATGCAGGAAGTAGGATTTGGCAGGTAGTAAGATTGGGGAGATAATGGAAGGGGGTAATACTTGAGATGTTGGTGATGATCGGATTCCAAAATGATGGGGGGGAGTGGGGGGCAGGATGGAGGGATACTAGGAGGCACTCGGTTGGTATAGGTTGATCATTTTTGAGAATGCAGGTTTTAAGTTAGAATGGGTATTCTGTGAGAAGCAGATTGATAGTCAGTTAGGATTCTGGGAGAGGGTAGTAGGTATGCTGTTGAGATTCCTGGGGGTGGGGTGCTGTGTAATTGGGTGGGTTCAGGAATTTCGAGCAGGCTGGATTGCCATCGAAATGAGGATTTGTTTCAGGTTTACACTTTCATACAAAGAAAAGATCACTGTAGCATATTGCTGGGCAGTAGTAATAACTAAACAAAAAAGAAAGGTAAAACAATATTTTGGTCGCCAATTTTGGCACGGTTCCCAGTTCTCGAGGCCGGTGTGTCAGTATGAGGCCTGGGTAGTCAAGTCCCTTGTGTGTTTGAGACTCTGGGCACGAAGGGTTCAATGTTGGTCAAGTCCCAGATGCTGCTGGAGATTTCGGGCAGTGCTCCTGTACCTGGTTGTGCAAGTCCCAGAGCTGCTAGGAATGTCTGCGAGTTGGCCATCGAGTGAAGTGTATGTGTGGCTCCATTGTGGGTCACCACTAGGGAGCCCGTCGTTCCCCATCTGTAAGGCATTCCTGAGGACCGGAGGTGGGCTGTTACTGACCCCATAGATCTGCGCCACTGTAGGGTCGTTTTGGAGAGATCTTGAAAAAAGTTCAAGTGTGTGCCTTTGAACTGCAGGGGTGTTTTCCCTCGTAGAGCCGCCATGATGTGAGCCTTGTCTGAGGTGGAGGTGCAGTGTATGATGACATCCCTTGGCGTTGTGAAAGAGGAGTTAGCTGTGTTGGTGAGGCGATATATCCCTGCTAAGCTGATTTTCTTAGCCATTGCGGGTGGCAGAATGGAAGCCAGCAGCCTCCGTGTGTAATGAGGTAGTTCCTCTGCTGTTGTGTCAGCCGGTACGCCCCGTGTCTTTGTTGTTGCGGCGTTGTTGGTCCTCTATGGTAGTCACCCTCTGAGAAAGGTTAAGCTGCTGGGTGTGGAGTTGTTCTACCGAGCTGCTCAGGGTAGTAGTTTGGGTGGAATTGAGTCCTTTCTTCGTTACATAGTTACATAGCTGAAAAGAGACTTGCGTCCATCAAGTTCAGCCTACCTCACATTTGTTTTTTGCTGTTGATCCAAAAGAAGGCAAAAAAACCCAGTTTGAAGCACAATTTTGCAACAAGCTAGGAAAAAAATTCCTTCTTGACCCCAGAATGGCAGTCAGATTTATCCTTGGATCAAGCAGTTATTACCCTACATTGAAAGATTATATCCTTGAATATTCTGTTCTTGCAAGTATGCATCTAGTAGCCGTTTGAACATCTGTATGGACTCTGATAAAACCACTTCTACAGGCAGAGAATTCCACATCCTGATTGTTCTTACAGTAAAAAAACCTTTCCTTTGCCTAAGACGAAATCTTCTTCTTTCTTCCAGTCTAAACGCATGGCCTCGTGTCCTATGTAAAGTCCGGTTTGTGAATAGATTTCCACACAATGGTTTGTATTGGACCCGAATATATTTGCTTTTATGCAGACGGTGTTGGCTTGAATCTCTTTTCTGAGTAGCGCCCAGTCCGCCTCCATCATCTTGTGTAAGTCTGAGAGGAGCATTTTAAGGTCACCCTTGGTGGTCGGGGCTGAGCTGTTGGTTAGTTGGAGGCTCGTGGTGTGCTCAGATGGTGGAGGGGATGAGGTGTCCCCATTAGCACTCCGGAGCACGAGTGCCGGTGTCTCCTCGGTCTCTCTCGGCTGTGTTGTTTTTGGTGCTGTCGGTCGTTGGAGCATAACCCCAATGTACCTGTCGGGTTTTTGCGATTGGCGCCCCATTGGGTGTGTGTGTGTGTGTGTGGCTGTGGCGTCATTAGGCAGGAGACCGACTCACTTGTGTCGTGTGCCTCCAGTAGGCAGTTGATGAGGTTGTCCAGACCTCGTATCTGTGGAGCGTAGAAGGCCCCAGTTTTGCGTTTCGGTTTTGTGTGTCTCGGTGTGAACGAGAAAGGCATCAATCGACGCAGTCCGTTGCCCAGCTTACGGTACTGCGGTTTATTTCAGTGTTGATCGACGTGGTTTTACAATTTTCAGTGAGATTTAGGAGGTAGATGAGGAGTTAGAAATGGCGTCTGCTCGGCTCCAGTGTTAACCCCGCCCCCTAGATTTAAAATCCCCTGCTATGTTAATAGCTTGCTAGACCCTGCAAGAGCCCCCTGTATGTGATTAAAGTAAAATTTACAGAGCGAGAGATAAAATTGTTTAAGGTAAATTACATCTGATTGAAAGTGAAACCAGTTTTTTTTTTTTGTTTTGTTTTTTTTTCATGCAGGTTGTCTCAATCATAGCCAGGGGAGGTGTGGCAAGGGCTGCATAAACAGAAGCAAAGTGATTTAACTCCTAAATGGCAGATAATTGAGAAGTAAAACCTGAGAGGCATGATCTATACACTAAAACTGCTTCATTAAAGGGACTCTCCAGTGCCAGGAAAACAGATTAGTTTTCCTGGCACTGCAGGACCCTACAGTGTCCCCTCCCTCCCACCCCCTATCTCAAGTTGCTGAAGGGTTAAAACTCCTTCAGTGACTTACCGGAGTCCGGTGCTGGGTCAGGCTCTGCCTACTCTCCTGACATCGGCGGGGAAGACCTAAAATGCATGCGCCGCAATGGTCGTGCACGCGCATTAGACCTCCCCATGGGAAAGCATTATTCAATGCTTTCCTATGGGGATTTCGGCGACGCTGGAGGTCCTCACATAGCGTGAAGACATCCAGCGTCGTATAACACACATTTCGTGTTCTAAGAACACAGGAGTCCCTCTAGTGGCTGTCTATCAGAGGACTTAACCCTGCAAGGTACACAGACCACTCCAGTGTCCCTTTAAGCTAAAGTTATTTAGGTGACTATAGTGTTCCTTTAATATATCTTCATTTGGATTACATTACATGTGAATGCTAGCTATTTTCTTAATGTTTCTTTTTCCTTCAGCATCTGAGATGGAAATCTAATTTGTACATCCACCTTATGGTCTGAATTATTCCCTAAACCATTAACACCCCTCTGTCTAGTGCTATGACCCTTTCCTTAGAGTGTCCACTGTGTTTGTGTTGTCTATATGCGTGTTGTTATATTTATTGCTCTGTATGTGTTCTCCATTGCAATCCGATTCCCATTCAAGCTTAATGCTCATTGATTGAAAGTGAAAGTTCTCCCTCCTAACAGGCAATAAAATGCTACATAGTCTAATCTTCCAGTAGCTGGGGTTAGTAAAGCAGGTTGCTTCCTGTAATTATGTTTAAAATGTATGGTTTGTTTAACCCATTCATTTCTGTTTTGAATCCGGTCAGTATAAATCTTGTTTCTTAAAATGTTACATATTTGGCTACTGACTAACTGTCTTAGTGTTTGGTTCTTGCACAGTTTCCTTGATGTTCATGGAAGCTTATAAAAGTGAGCAATGATCATGCAAAACCCCATTACCTTCAGAGTTAACTCCTGCTCTGTAAATTGAACTTAAATCACACACAGGATGCTTGTGCAGGTTCTAGCAAGCTATTAACAGAGCAGGAGATGAGAAATTCTAAATTCAACAGAATTTGCAATAAAGGGAGGGTAAATATTAGATGACTCTTTACAGGAAGTGCTTAGGAAGGCTGTGCAAATCACATGCATGGAGGCGTGACTAGAGCTGCATAAACATTGATTTTACTCCTATATAACAGAGAATAGGCCAGTGAGACTGCAGGGGCATGATCTATACACCAAAACGGTTTCATTAAGCTAAACTTGTTTTGGTGACTATAGTGTCCCTTTCATTAGATCCATTCCAGTTGTGGTGGGTTTTCTGAGCTAAATTGTGCTACATAAGTTGAAGATTGAGCTGTAAACACACAAGATATAAAGTAATTGAGGCATTTTGAACATGCACTATTAAAGGTACATTTCTATTAGTCACACTTTATTGCACAGGCATTGTGGTATGGAAAATGACCTAATTTGATCTATACAGCGCACAGCTAAATGACATGTAATGCATGTATCAAGGTCCATTGTAGTATAAGGTTTTTTTGGGAAGGCTTGATGGTTCTCCCCTCCTTTTCTCAATATAGAGGTATAAACTACATAACCTCTACAGTAGGTATTCCTGTTTCCACAAAGACTAGTGTTCTTATCTGTATTCGCAATATGCCCTGATAACCCAAATATCAGACGTGAATTCACATAAAGAGCAGATTATGCATTAAAGAGTGTGGTATTTAAATTGGTGTTAAATGTACTATTCCACTTCACCATTTTAACGATGTATGTTAACTTTGGGTTTTTGGAAGACTATATAGATTAATCTATGGCTTGTAGGCAGTTATTAATACCCTCCACGCAGCAGGGAACGGATTGCTGAGCGGCTGCCAAAGCTTGCTGCAAGCCATGGTGGGATCAGGTCACCCACATTCCTCGGAAACGTGGCGGTCTATATCTGATGCTGATCCCAGGAAGGGGACAGATTTTAAAATGCTTCATCAGCCATAGTACTTCTGGTAGCTTGTTTGAAAGGTCAGCAATATCTTATTTTAATAGCTTTAATATGATGTCCCAAGACAAGTACAGGTGTAGATACACATCATACAGCTTGCTCTTTATCCATTTTAAATAAGGGTGTTAATAAGCTGCTAGCAAGGATGTGAATTAATATAAATGATCTATTTCAAACCAAAGCTTTATTCTGATTGGCTTCTCGATGTTCTAAGCAGCAGGCGTAGGCAACCTTCAGCACTCCAGATGTTTTGGAATGCACTTCCCATGATCCTTTGCCAGCATTATGGGTGTAAGAGAGTTATGGGAGTGGTTGTTCACAATATCTGGAGTGCCGGTGGAATCTAAGCTAATCAGAATATGGCTGGAATTTAAACTCTGTAGCAGAGAAGGCTGCAATTAGCCACTAAAAGTATAAAATAGGTTTGTTCCATATCATAAATTTAGGAGATGCAGTGCACCAACAGCATGTTGATCAGTTTGACATCGGTGGTCTTTATATAAATTTACAGATTTGTTGCAATTTGGGAATTAATGATTAGATGCATGGCGGAATACATTGTGTTTTAGATATGAGGCAGGTAATTGGAGAAAGGCAATCTTTATGTATTCATAAATATTGAGATTTAACCCCTCTACTGCAGGCTAGCAAATTGTCATGCACATTTTGTCGTTCACTGACACTCTTAGCCTTATGAATGGCTGACAGAATCGCCACCCAACTTCTGAATTCTGCTTCAGAGCAGGCCAGCAGCCAGACAGGTCCCTGGTAAGAGGGTTTGCCCCATTATTAGGGACCAGGGCTTACAGGGCACACTTAGTGATTATGATGTTTGAGGAAATACAGTTAACTGGTTTAAAGGGTTACTCAAAATGTATTGTGTGCTCAAAGATAAATAGGCCCTGTTGTGTAAATGAAGGATTCTATTGGTAGATTAAACAGTATTTTTGTTTTTACCCCTCCAGGAGATAGACAGACGGTTGGAAAAGAAGCTAAAGATCACTCAAAGAGAGAGGTAAGAGAAGAAACATCTTGGCTAATTTGGGTAATGATCATAGTCCTCTAGACACGGGTATTATCAAATAACATTATATTGGAACTGGTATTGTTCGTTTGGAGACGGCTCTCACATTCCAGATTCCATTGTGGATTGCACTCTCTTATGCAAATATGCAGGGATTCTGTCTAGAGTTGCTAAAAAAGGATGTTATTTTTGGAACTTTTGACATAATGCACGTGTGGACTAGCTGTAACCAGCATCGGCTCTTCTTTTCAGCAAGTCAAAGTCTCCACCTAAAACTCCCGTGGTGATCCAAGACGATTCCTTGCCAGCTGGACCTCCTCCTCAGATCCGAATACTAAAGCGACCTACGAGTAACGGCCTGGCAAGCAACACCAATGCCAGCAACCGACCTGCACTGCCTGTTAAGTCTCTGGCACAGAGAGAGGCAGAGTACGCAGAAGCTCGGAAGCGTATTTTAGGAAGCGCCAGCCCAGAGGAAGAGCCGGACAAACCTGTAGCAGACAGGTAATTTTTTTTTCTGGAGTATGGACGCTCTTGAAAACCTGATGCCTGTTTATTGATTTCATATACCACTTATCTTGCTCTTTGTGCACTCGATTCTAGCTGTGAGCTTTCAGTTAATTTAGTCTATGCTGAGACTTGGCTGTTTGTTAGAATTCTGGATATTGGTCTCTGTTCTGCCATAGACATTTCAATTTGTGTACATAAAGGTGGCACATTGATCAGCAATAACATGCGCCCTGGTACATTGTAGAATTCCTCACATTTAATTTTCAGATATAGTCAAATCATTAACCATGTGTGAGAGGAGTAATTTTACAACAAGACTTTGGAATATTCAGTTTAGCTTGTATGAACACTAGGCTGTGGACATTTGCAAAAGCAAATTTTACAAATCCCTTTAACTTTTGAAGGAAAAGTAGATTCTAAATCAAATCAATTGATTGTGTGGTCTTTGTATAGTAGCGTAATGCACATTTCCAAAATGTCACTTCTCTCTGCATAGCCCGTGTGCACAGCATCTTGGGAACATGGTGGCTCTTTTCACCTGTTAAGGGCAGCAAAATTGAGTTTTCCTTCTTCTGTTTGTTGCCTGCCCTACTCCAGTATATACTTCAGTAGCCTGTATTGGGGCAAATGAAAGGTGAACTATCCATAACTCAAAGGGGACGCATGGTTGGTCTCTGGAAATGAGGAAGATATCAGAAATAGTCTAGCAAAGTGCAGCATCAATTCCAAGGAGGCTGGTAGTTCTTGTTCTATCTCCTCCTTTTTTGTGGTGGCCTGTATTGTCTTCCAGTGTGTCATGTCCCATCTCCTAGAGAGGGGAAATCACTTTTGCCTAGAATTTCGTCTAGCTCCCAGAACAAAAAAAGCTAAAAATCCTGCATTATTATGAGGGGATAAAGCGAAGGGGCGGTATTATATTACAATCCTGTTTTTATTGGTATAGATGTAAGTGCTTCATGCTTTCTCCTAGGACAGCGAGAGTCAATCAGCCTGAGGACATCAGACAGCCTAACAATGTGATCCGACAGCCACTGGGTCCAGATGGATCACAAGGCTTCCTACAGCGCAGATAGATGTGACGGAGCACCGCTGCCAAGGGCTGTGCTGCCCTGTTACACCAATGGACCTGAGCAGAGGGGGACCACCTCATTTACTTGCACTTTGATGCCCTTTTTGCTCTGCCCACTGTGACCTTAAACCCTGTGCACTGTGACCCCCCCTCCCGCCACGCCTCTAGCTCCGACCACTGTGATTGGCACATTGCCACAGGCAACCTTGGCGCTTTACACAAGGGAAAGCGTGTGCATGTGCAAAATAGGCAGGGAGGGTGGTGCGGAAATAAGCCACATATAGATAGAGAAGGGGGTGCCACGTGCCTGCGACTGCCACTTCTGTTGAAGTTACCGCCAGCAATAATGTTAACAGCATCTCCAGGGAGGGAAGTGGGTCCACAAGCCCCCCCCCTTTATCACATATATTTTCTTAATGACTGCCTGCCTCATTACTAAGAATTTCCATTTCAAACAGCTTCCTTCGGTTATGATGTACTGTGCATGGAGGGGGTTTTAGATGTCTAAGACAAAGCGCTTTGATTTAACTGCAGAAATTAGATTGTAGTTTTCTTAACACCGCAAACCATAGCAGTGAAATGGCTTCATTGCACATACTGGTATTGACAGACAGTGATGGGGTAAAGCCAGCCCTCCAGTGTTTGGCGTTTCAGGGCCTGTATTAAGAAAGCTTTTGAAGCTCGTTCCCTCTGCAGTGGCTTCAGGATGTTTGAGTGCATTAAGCTTGGCTAGACATGCCCGCGTGTGTGAGTGTGAGAAGGGGCAGGTGTGCATGAGCTATTAACCAGCATGGCTTGCAAGCTGGGTGGCAGAAACCACTCAGGAGAACCCTTTGCTACAGTATTCTGCTGGTCTGTTCTGTCATCTGTCTTGGACTGAAGGATTCTGGGACAACAATGTTAGGATGAAGACTTGATCCATGATGCCTGGGCTCTTCCTAGAAAACAAAGATGTGGAATATGGAAATCAATTGCTGAGTGTCCTGTGCTCCCAGGCATTCTTGTCGCTGAATTCCAGCCTTTTCCAGCACAGTTTGTCGCAATGGAGTTGGCCCAGAACTGTTCCCTTGCCATATCTGCTGGGTCCCAACCTTCTGGGCTATTCTCCAATAAATGCAGTAATTAATTTGAAGGGAGACGTAAGCCCGTAGGGAACTTTTACTATTTTGCAAAGCGAACTCCTTGGGCCCGGGTTCACTAGTATGTGTAAAGACCTCTAAGGGATGTGGATGTAACTCTGAAGCTATCATGGCTGTCAGCAGCTGTGACATGGATGTAGAGCTGTTCTTTCTGGTTCTAGCTCAGTGCTGTAACAAAATATATACATTAATTTTAGAAATCAGAACATTGGGAACAAACCATGTTAAATAAAGTTGAAGGAAAACATGCCTCTTACGCAGTATTTTATATGGTCATATCACTTGCACTTCAAACTAAACCTCTCTGGGTTATGTGTATTGATTTAATAAAACCTCTCACGGGGATTCCCGTCCCTTTTTTGTTCCTGCAGGTAGAATGTCTGAAATCCAAATATGGCAGCATGATGAGTGTTACTATTGAACACACTCAGTCACAGCCTTTAGCTTGAAATCTAGAAGCAAGGGGCAGTTACTTTTTATTTATTTTTATTTATTTTTTTTCTCTATTTTAACTGGAGATTTTTTTTTTATTTTTTTTTTACATTGGATGTGTATAAATGAAATATGTATGTTACCTATATCTCCAGGTAGGTTTACACTGTGTGTTCCTTTACTCTTACATTATGAGTGCCTTTAAGTAGTAGGCTGTAAGAGCCCCCCCCCCCCTTTTTTTTCCCGTATATAAATCTACCCAACTCCGGTTACGGTTCTGAAACATTCATATGCATTTCTATGTAAATGCTACATGTTTGTCTTAGAAAATCAAGGTTTTTATCTTTCTATTCAAGTAAGTGATATGTGCAGCTTAGCTGGAACCTTCCAAATCATGTAACAATTTTTAAGCTAATGTTTGATAGTATTTTTTAATTAGGGTGATGTACTGGCAGCTCAGCACTTCCCAATATTGTAACTCTAGTGGCTCACCTGCTCCAGCGAGCTTAAGGTGGTAGATGCACAGGGCAGCTCTTAGCCAATAAGGAACAAACTCTTGCAGGATCACTCGATTACGTGGAGTGCTTAAATCTCTGCTCCTGCTGTAATGAGGGGTATTCCATTATTCCAATAAAAGCCATTATAGCATTTTCTTAAAGTATCATGTACTCTGTGGTTTTTGGTGGTTTTTTTTTGGGGGGGGGGTTTTTTTTTGTTTAGGTAAGGGGGTTTTCTTCTCCAATGCATATGTTTTAACAATACGTCCCTCTTTTACCAGTAACTATATGTAAAGAAAAGCGTGCAAAGTCTGCTGTTCTTTCATAATGTGTCCGGTTACCAGCACAGACCGTGCCATGTGATAGCGTAGTTTAAAATGTTCTCCCCATCAAAGATTCCCTAAAATAAAAGTTTTTCAAATTGTACTTCTTTTTATCTACTGGGTTTTCAGTTTGTTAGCCACTGGAAATGTTCCTGTGTTGTTTCAGCCAAGGGTGTAGAATATGAAATGGGGGACTGCACCTCCTAGGATTAATATTCCGTTTAATTATTGCTTTTATTAACAAATCTGCATTTGTGACATGTGAGAAATAAAATTCAGTTGTTTTATCCTGCACCTGGGTGCCTCCATCTTGGCTCCCTGTCATTCATATTATAAGCTCTGTCCTTTGCATCGGACAGTCAGTGTAGAGAAACTATATTGACTAACAATATTTCTGATCACACCCCCTCTTCGTTTTGCAATGTTTTCCTTGTCTAGGCCGGTTCATAATCTACCTTTTGAATCTTGTATCTAGTATACATTTAAAAGAGACACATTGCACCTCCTGCGTAAAGTTAGCGCAAGTTCAGGCTGTTTTGTTAAAGGACCACTATAGGCACCCAGACCACTTCAGCTTAATGAAGTGGTCTGGGTGCCAGGTCCAGCTAGGTTTAACCCTTTTTTCTATAAACATAGCAGTTTCAGAGAAACTGCTATGTTTATAATAGGGTTAATCCAGCCTCTAGTGGCTGTCTCGTTGACCGCCGCTAGAGGCGCTTCCGCGCTTCTCACTGTGAAAATCACAGTGAGAAGATGCCAGCGTCCACAGGAAAGCATTGTGAATGCTTTCCTATGAGACTGGCTGAATGCGCGTGCGGCTCTTGCCACGCATTCAGCACAGGAGGAGGAGAGCTCCCCACCCGGCGCTGGAAAAATAGGTAAATTTAACCCCCTCCACCCCCTAGAGCCTGGCGCGAGGGGGAAACCCTAAGGGCACTATAGTGCCAGGAAAATGAGTGTCCTGGCACTATAGTGGTCCTTTAAAGTATAAATTCCAGGAAAATTATTTCCCCTTTTAACGTTTTACATCTAGATTAACAGGGGTTTCCATGCTTCTGCAGAAATTAAGACGTTTAAAGGAACATTAGAAGTAATTACAATGTGTGTTTGTTTCTGGTTTGTTGAACAGCTCCATGCTGAAAAAGTGCAAATGACAATTCTTCTCCCCCTGCCTGTAGGAAACGGTCTGTAACTGTAGCTTCTGTCACTTGAGTGTTTGTTACTGCATCGATCAGGGTGGTGATGTGTTGATTGCGGGTAAGAAATTAGAAAGGCCCAGTGGTTCCATCCTCCTGTGTTGCCAACCAATGCGCACTTGCCATACATTGCATTTCACTTAAAGGAACACTCCAACCATCACAACTGCTACCGCCTGATGTAGTGGTTATGGCATCCTCCCATAGTAAAATGGAAAACCAGTTTATAACATTTTAATGACTTACTGTGTCTAATAGACCCCTTGTGCTGTATTCGCTAAGCAGGCTTGGTAGAAAACTGTGCTCATTGGCTGAGAGTGTTCGACCCTGCTTAAAGGGGCACTATAGGCATGCAGACAACTTCATTTCATGGCGTGCAGTGTTCCGGTCCCTTTTAGAGAAACAGCGATGTTTATATGGCAGGGATAAGCCTGCCTCCAGTGACTGTCTATGGGGCACTTTCTGCAGTTTCAGTAAGTTTGATTTTGTGAAACTATGCTGGATTTCCTCATGCTGTGGGGGGCAGAGGGGCCAAGATAATGCTTTGTATTCCTAACAATACAGTGTTTCTTTAATCCAGTCAACAGGATTCTCCTACAAGGAAAATCAGGGAAGCAGTTCTGCTGGAATCTGGTCAGCCCGTTAAGTCTGACTTTACTCAGAGTTCTAGAACATGTAGTGAGTGCAGGGTGTAGTGATTATGGTGCTTAGATGTTCTATAAAAGGTGTTAACTGGACCCTGTTTCAAGAGACCATTGAATGAACTAAATCATGATCGGTTTCTATACTCACAAAATGCTGAGCTTGGAATTGCTGTATGTAGATGGCAATACATTGAGTATGATATATTTTAAACCATAATCTAGCTTAGGTAGACATACCGCAGTTCAGTTAAAGCTTCATCACTCAAACACTATATCTGTACTCCATTAAAACCATTCATAAACCAAGAAACTGAAAAAAGGGGAAAAGGTTATACCAAAATCATTTTATAAAAGAGGAGGGGGAGGGGAAAAGTACCCCATTTCTAATTCAGACAAAGAAAAAAAAAAAAGGTGAAACATAAATACATCCAAAACAGTCCCTACAGGAAGAGACTAAAAAAATAAGTGAGTCAATTCAATGAATCCAGAACTGCCTGTCCTCACATTGAAACAAGAACTGGTACAGAAAGCATCACATCCAGGGAGGGTGTAGTATATTTAGTGTCTGGGTTTTGTATTGGGTCTAGTTATGTAATAGGCTACATTAGACTGGGTGGGCACTGTGTGTAGCATTTAGCCTCTCCCTCTATCCCCCTCTTGCTGTCACTGATATAGATCTATTTCATAGGAATTCCCTCTCCTATAATTCCAGCTGTTAGAGACAGATCGTTACTGTTATTCACAGGATACAAAGTTACTACACCCTCCCAGGATGTCATGCTACTAAGCAGTTTCTGTACCAATTCTTGTTTCAATGTGAAGAACACGGACATTCATTTGGTAAAGACTACCACAGCAAAGCCCACTCCATGTCTGTATCAATATACATTGCAGTATATTGTAACATGCTCTGGGTAAGAGCTTTATAGGGAGAGGTGTATATCATGAGCACACACTGCAGGGTAACAGATGGCTCAGACTGACTGTCCCAAGAATGGTCAGCCAGGCATTGTAATAGAGCATAGTGTGTAAGGGATGGTCAGCCAGGCATTGTAATAGAGCATAGTGTGTAAGGGATGGTCAGCCAGGCATTGTAATAGAGCACAGAGTGAGCCAGGGATGGTCAGCCAGGCATTGTAATAGAGCATAGTGTGTAAGGGATGGTCAGCCAGGCATTGTAATAGAGCACAAAGTGAGCCAGGGATGGTCAGCCAGGCAGTGTAATAGAGCACAGAGTGAGCCAGGGATGGTCAGCCAGGCAGTGTAATAGAGCAGAGAGTGAGCCAGGGATGGTCAGCCAGACAGTGTAATAGAGCACAGAGTGAGCCAGGGAAGGTCAGTCAGGCAGGGTACTAGAGCACAGAGTGAGCCAGGGATGGTCAGCCAGGCAGTGTAATAGAGCACAGAGTGAGCCAGGGATGGTCAGCCAGGCAGTGTAATAGAGCACAGAGTGAGCCAGGGATGGTCAGCCAGGCAGTGTAATAGAGCAGAGAGTGAGCCAGGGATGGTCAGCCAGGCAGTGTAATAGAGCAGAGAGTGAGCCAGGGATGGTCAGCCAGGCAGTGTAATAGAGCACAGAGTGAGCCAGGGATGGTCAGTCAGGCAGTGTAATAGAGCAGAGAGTGAGCCAGGGATGGTCAGCCAGACAGTGTAATAGAGCACAGAGTGAGCCAGGGAAGGTCAGTCAGGCAGGGTACTAGAGCACAGAGTGAGCCAGGGATGGTCAGCCAGGAAGAGTAATAGAGCACAAAGTGAGCCAGGGATGGTCAGCTAGACAGTGTAATAGAGCACAGAGTGAGCCAGGGATGGTCAGCCAGGCAGTGTAATAGAGCAGAGAGTGAGCCAGGGATGGTCAGCCAGGCAGTGTAATAGAGCAGAGAGTGAGCCAGGGATGGTCAGCCAGGCAGTGTAATAGAGCACAGAGTTAGCCAGGGATGGTCAGTCAGTGTAATAGAGCACAGAGTGAGCCAGGGATGGTCAGTCAGGCAGTGTAATAGAGCACAGAGTGAGCCAGGGATGGTCAGTCAGGCAGTGTAATAGAGCAGAGAGTGAGCCAGGGATGGTCAGCCAGACAGTGTAATAGAGCACAGAGTGAGCCAGGGAAGGTCAGTCAGGCAGGGTACTAGAGCACAGAGTGAGCCAGGGATGGTCAGCCAGGAAGAGTAATAGAGCACAAAGTGAGCCAGGGATGGTCAGCTAGACAGTGTAATAGAGCACAGAGTGAGCCAGGGATGGTCAGCCAGGCAGTGTAATAGAGCAGAGAGTGAGCCAGGGATGGTCAGCCAGGCAGTGTAATAGAGCACAGAGTGAGCCAGGGATGGTCAGCCAGGCAGTGTAATAGAGCACAGAGTGAGCCAGGGATGGTCAGTCAGGCAGTGTAATAGAGCACAGAGTGAGCCAGGGATGGTCTGCCAGGCAGTGTAATAGAGCACAGAGTGAGCCAGGGATGGTCAGCCAGGCAGTGTAATAGAGCACAGAGTGAGCCAGGGATGGTCAGCCAGGCAGTGTAATAGAGCACAGAGTGAGCCAGGGATGGTCAGTCAGGCAGGGTACTAGAGCACAGAGTGAGCCAGGGATGGTCAGCCAGGAAGAGTAATAGAGCACAAAGTGAGCCAGGGATGGTCAGCCAGACAGTGTAATAGAGCACAGAGTGAGCCAGGGATGGTCAGCCAGGCAGAGTAATAGAGCAGAGAGTGGCAGAGGGATGGTCAGCCAGGCAGTGAAATAGAGCAGAGAGTCAGGATGGTCAGGCAGTGTAATAGTAGCCAGGGATGGTCAGCCAGGCAGTGTAATAGAGCAGAGTGAGCCAGGGATGGTCAGTCAGGCAGTGTAATAGAGCACAAGTGAGCCAGGGATGGTCAGCAGGCAGTGTAATAGAGCAGAGAGTGAGCCAGGGATGGTCAGCCAGGCAGTGTAATAGAGCACAGAGTGAGCAGGGATGGTCAGGGCAGTGTAATAGAGCACAGAGTAGCAGGATGGTCAGCCAGGCAGTGTAATAGAGCAGAAAGTGAGCCAGGATGGTCAGCCAGCAGTGTGAGCAGAGAGTGAGCCAGGGATGGTCAGCCAGGCATTGTAATAGAGCACAGAGTGAGCCAGGGATGGTCAGCCAGGCATTGTAATAGAGCATAGTGTGTAAGGGATGGTCAGTCAGGCAGGGTAATAGAGCACAGAGTGAGCCAGGGATGGTCAGCCAGGAAGAGTAACAGAGCACAGAGTGAGCCAGGGATGGTCAGTCAGGCAGTGTAATAGAGCACAGAGTGAGCCAGGGATGGTCAGTCAGGCAGTGTAATAGAGCACAGAGTGAGCCAGGGATGGTCAGCCAGGCAGTGTAATAGAGCAGAGAGTGAGCCAGGGATGGTCAGCCAGACAGTGTAATAGAGCAGAGAGTGAGCCAGGGATGGTCAGCCAGACAGTGTAATAGAGCAGAGAGTGAGCCAGGGATGGTCAGCCAGGCAGTGTAATAGAGCAGAGAGTGAGCCAGGGATGGTCAGCCAGGCAGTGTAATAGAGCACAGAGTTAGCCAGGGATGGTCAGTCAGTGTAATAGAGCACAGAGTGAGCCAGGGATGGTCAGTCAGGCAGTGTAATAGAGCACAGAGTGAGCCAGGGATGGTCAGCCAGGCAGTGTAATAGAGCACAGAGTGAGCCAGGGATGGTCAGTCAGGCAGTGTAATAGAGCACAGAGTGAGCCAGGGATGGTCAGCCAGGCAGTGTAATAGAGCACAGAGTGAGCCAGGGATGGTCAGCCAGACAGTGTAATAGAGCAGAGAGTGAGCCAGGGATGGTCAGCCAGGCAGTGTAATAGAGCAGAGAGTGAGCCAGGGATGGTCAGCCAGGCAGTGTAATAGAGCAGAGAGTGAGCCAGGGATGGTCAGCCAGGCAGTGTAATAGAGCACAGAGTGAGCCAGGGATGGTCAGCCAGGCAGTGTAATAGAGCACAGAGTGAGCCAGGGATGGTCAGCCAGGCAGTGTAATAGAGCACAGAGTGAGCCAGGGATGGTCAGCCAGGCAGTGTAATAGAGCACAGAGTGAGCCAGGGATGGTCAGTCAGGCAGTGTAATAGAGCACAGAGTGAGCCAGGGATGGTCAGTCAGGCAGTGTAATAGAGCACAGAGTGAGCCAGGGATGGTCAGCCAGACAGTGTAATAGAGCAGAGAGTGAGCCAGGGATGGTCAGCCAGACAGTGTAATAGAGCAGAGAGTGAGCCAGGGATGGTCAGCCAGGCAGTGTAATAGAGCAGAGAGTGAGCCAGGGATGGTCAGCCAGGCAGTGTAATAGAGCACAGAGTGAGCCAGGGATGGTCAGCCAGGCAGTGTAATAGAGCACAGAGTGAGCCAGAGATGGTCAGCCAGGCAGTGTAATAGAGCACAGAGTGAGCCAGAGATGGTCAGCCAGGCAGTGTAATAGAGCACAGAGTGAGCCAGGGATGGTCAGCCAGGCAGAGTAATAGAGCACAGAGTGAGCCAGGGATGGTCAGCCAGGCAGTGTAATAGAGCAGAGAGTGAGCCAGGGATGGTCAGCCAGGCAGTGTAATAGAGCACAGAGTGAGCCAGGGATGGTCAGCCAGGCAGTGTAATAGAGCACAGAGTGAGCCAGGGATGGTCAGCCAGACAAGGTAATAGAGCACAGAGTGAGCCAGGGATGGTCGGCCAGGCACGTCTAGCTCCGCCTACAGAACTCTATGGTGTTGTGAGCGCATTGTGTCTATCACGTGATGCCTGTCCCGGAAGTGCAGGAGTACCAACATGGCGGACAATGACTACGAGTCGGTCATCTGCGTCAAGCCGGAAGTGCACGTCTACCGTATTCCTCCTCGAGCCTCCAACCGCGGGTACCGGTAAGTATCGGTACCGGAGGTTCGGGCGGTGTGTCGGTACCGGGGGGGCTCCGGGCGGTGTGTCGGTACCGGGGGGGCGGGGGGTTCCCGGGATGCGGGTGACTATCAGTCTCTCTCCCCAGGGCCGCAGAATGGCAGCTGGATCAACCGTCATGGAGCGGCCGCCTGAGGATCACAGCCCTCGGCAAGAAAGCCTTCATCAAACTGGAGGACAAAACCTCAGGTAACCGCAGCTTGATAAATACCGGGAGCTGGGCATCGCACACGGTATGATAAATACCGGGAGCTGGGCATCGCACACAGTATGATAAATACCGGGAGCTGCACACAGTATGATAAATACCGGGAGCCGGGCATCGCAGACAGTATGATAAATACCGGGAGCTGGGCATCGCACACAGTATGATAAATACCGGGAGCTGGGGGTCGCAGACAGTATGATAAATACCGGGAGCTGGGCATCGCACACAGTATGATAAATACCGGGAGCTGGGCATCGCACACAGTATGATAAATACCGGGAGCTGGGGGTCGCAGACAGTATGATAAATACCGGGAGCTGGGGGTCGCAGACAGTATGATAAATACCGGGAGCT